GGTAAAGTATGAGTAAAATTAAAATATGTAAATTATGCACTATTATTGTACAAAATTGAGTATGAATCTTACCATTTCCGGGTCCTTTAAAGTCTGTACAGACAAATAAAAGGGGGCCTCTGGAACACACATACTTGCTGGCCTCTTTGCTTTGTATACCTGTAAGCTTCAACTGGGTCCTTGCCATCTTTTTGGTAGGTTCTAAACATTTTAGGGGCAATTGGTCTGTAATAAGAGTTAAAAACAAATGTAATTGTAATATTAGGGAAAATTCTGCATATATAGACACTAAAACACAATAAAAATGGATAAAATACACTGTGTATACCTTTAAATTTTAATGTACTGAGTCTTTAATTAAAATTGAACCAATGTAAAAATGATCACCTCCTATCTCGAGAATCGCCAAGTCTAGTAATAGTTTGACGCTCATTGTACACAATAAAATCATTCCCCATGGAATCTCTGCCTTCTGTTACGTCTCCCCATCTGAGGTCTTTATGTTCTTGTGCTCCCCTCATTCCGAAGAATCTTGCATTATTCCACCAGACTAGATTTTGTAGCGAGGTGGGGTTTGTGAGTCCAAACATATCACTGTCTCTTATCTTGTGTAGTTCTTTCTTGGTTATAGATCTTGAAGCTTTGGGTTTATTTCCTCTGCCCTGCTCAGTTTTTCAGTTGTTTCTGTTTTGCTGACAGAGCAGAACAATGAACAATGGTCAGATATCAATGATTTACCATAGGCCTGATTTCTCAAATAACGTTCCAAACTAGCAAATTTCGACCTTAAAGGACTTGACTCATATTCCTCTCCATTCTTTTGTTTCACTGTAATGATAAATTCTGATACAAATCCATTTAAATCTTTTGGTTCAATGTTTCGGGCTTTCTTAGTTCCCCTTTCAACTTCAGAAAGTCTAGGAAATTATTAGTTCAACGTCATTAAACTCAATAATGGCGTTCTTTATTATTAGGAATTTTCTTGGGGCCGTTATTGAGTTTAACCTCTTTACTATTCTTTCCTTTGGTGCAAGTTTTGGATCCACCGAAACCATTTTTCCGCGATAACATGCAACTGATACTTGACAACAATATAAAAACACATAACATCAAGCGATTCAACACAATATTATTGTATTAAATGTTCATTTATACGAGTAAAATGAGGTTAAACTTACCAATCTCTAAAATGACATTTCCGCATGTCCGTCGTTGTGTCTGTTTGTCCCGGGTTAAAATTTAAACTATTGAAACGAATTTGTTGTTAAATAGTTTGATAATTATCACGTGATTACTCGGGATATAAAGATCAATTTTGAGGATAACAGGTATCTTTGATTGATTTATATAGCGCTTGTATACACGCAAATAGTTATTAATTGCAAACCTACTGTTCGTTGATGCAGTGTCGCAATGACAGTTAATTCCTGATACGATTTGCAATTTCGATGTTACCGGAGCTGACAGACATTTTCGTAAAATTCCAAACCTGTCTCCAATATTTTCGTAATTATGCATCAATAGGGTCTAAGGGGGATACGGGATGGTGTGTATGTATTTATGAGGTATGTATGCATGCTTCAATCACATTCTTTATGTAATATTACCATGTTTTCAGTGTTTAATTAGTTCCGCTGGTCGAAACCTGCGGAACGATTAAATTAACGCATCCAGGGCAAAATGATCATGGAGGTTAGACCTAGCCGGGGCCATAAGACATGTCAGATAAGAAACGAGGCCCAGGCTAGGTCTAATGTTGTTGGACTAGGAAATTATTAATGTCAGATCTGTCTTTTTTACAGTGTTCAGGTTTATCTTACCAATTATAAATTCATTCACATCAACCTTAGATTCCTCGATGCCTCCTACTTCTACCAGTTCACTTTCCCCGGTCAAAAGTTTTCCTACGACATCCGCCATTGTTGTTTTTGCAGAAGATCAATGAAGGCAGAGATATCCCGTGAACTTCTAGAACATTTTAACCTATGCGTCTGCGCATATCGCTAGTCTTTATGGGTAGACTGTGGCTAGTTGTCACTATGATTAGTTCCCAAAATGCACTTCTACAGTGGTATACGCTAGAGTGGTATACGGTGGAGTGTATACGATGCGATATACCACTCTCCACTATATATTGTTGTTAAAGACACCTGTTATACAACTATAATTGGACTTGGAGTGATATAATCCTATATATCCCCCAGGTATCCATTATCACACGAACTATACTGATGGCTTCCAGTGGACATTACTCTCAAAAAGGCCAAAGGAAAGGCAAATATTATACGGGGCTTCGTTGCGCGCCTGATATGACTTATTTGAACCATATGGCTACACCCTTATCGATGCTGATTGGTACAACACGATGTTTGTGAGGGATAAACATGTGGACATCTTTGGTCCAATACCAACAGATGTAGACACTGTTTGGCGGAATGGGTGGTTCGAACGTCCAGGGAGATACGCTCAAAAAGACTTAGTTACTTAGTAAGTATTGGTTAAATTACCCAGGACAAGAAGTATGGACAACTATGGATACATCTGAAGTAATAGAAGAAATAAAAAAGGCTATAAAAACTCTAAATTATCAACATGCGAGGAAACAATATACAATTATTGACCTCTCCAGAGGTTTACTGTCAAAATTATATCCCGAGACTGTAAACCGAGACCGTAGGTCGAGGTTTACAGTCGAGGGATATAATTGTGACAGTAAACCGAATGGAGAGGTCTATAATTGTTTTGTTAGTCCGAAGAATATCTTAGATTTTTCTGACCCTTGAAGTTGACTGTTGGATCCAGACCCTCGAGACGCTCATGCCACGGCAGTAAGTTCACTCAATGGAGTCAAATTACTCTCCTGGGCGAAGTCCACTAAAAGCTTTGTACAAAGTTTTAGATTTTTCTTCGTATTTTGACTGTCTTTACTCTCTAAGAGACTAATAATATCCTCATCTTCAACATTTTTGAAACGGCTAGTGCTAGCGGCGGCCATTTTATCGTCTGATAATGACGTCATTTTAGTGGAATGCTGGGAATATTATTCACCGGCAATGCATTGCGCGGTGTACATTTAAAATTGTTCACCGCTCGTTGACCAATCAAAATCGAGTATTTCAACTGAGGTACTAACAATAGCAAATATATACACTTTCTGACCTTGTTTAAATAGTTTAACTATTGTTTCGAGTAAATGGGAATCATGAAGAAATTTTGACTTTGGCGCCCACGCATGATATATGGACAAATAATCATACTCCAGAGTTCTCCTGTCATATACGCCTGATTCAAATATCAAACATAACGTCAACTATAAAGTAGTTCAATCCGATGAAAACTATAAATATCGAAATCGACACTTTCCGTCCACCATCTTAGATGCGATGGTTACGGCTGTTTCCCTCGATTGATACTGACCAGTGAAGATGACAGTAGTGTGTAGTTCATATATTATTTGGCAATGTGTTATCATATAAAATTATATAAAAGATTTGGCACTTAAACTTGTACAAACAAGGCATACATGTTATATAACAAGTAAACAGTAGATAAAACAATTCGATCCATACATGTCACATGGCCCCGTGGTTGATCTTGGCTGAGGAATTTTTATCGAGGTCAAGGTCAAAATTCAAAATCTGGGTCAAGAATTGTTTTCTACTTTCTCAAAAATGGTCAACAAAAAGTTTGAACGAGAAATTGTTTCCAAGTTTTTAGGTATTTGAGTCTGAAAAAACGCTAAAAATCAATATCACCCCGGGCTATCAATATGCCGAATTTAGAATTTCGTTCCAGCAAGCCAATGCCCTGAGTCTCGTTTGCCAGCAGATGAGCCCATTGCCGAAAATGTTTTATAAAAATTCAGATAGCACAAGGTAGGAATGAACATAGAGCGGTGCAGCGCATTTGGGCCTAGTACTCCAATACAGTCTTTTTCGAGCAAAAATATCCTGTATTACAACTAGTTAATTAATGAAAACACAGAATGAAACCCTGTTTAAAGGGTTCTCGATATTCTTTTTTGACACTTACTTCGTCTCGTGCCAATACAGAATTTTTATTGCAGAATATATCCTGTATTGTACTTCAAGTCATTCAATAACTTATAATATTATCTCGGCGAAGTTGTTATTAACTAATACTAAATAAGTATTAGACAACCTGAGGAACATTAAATAAAGGCCATGTTTGCTTTAAAATAGACAAGTTTTCTATGTTTTCCATACATCAGTATATTTGACAGACGTCTTGGGTTTCTTGGGAAAACAAAACAAAACATTTCATTTGTTCATGGTAGTTTATTATATTCAAATATTTAAACACCGTGTTTTCATGACACTTAGAATTGAATGTGTTTACAAATGAATCTAAATATAAGAAAATATCAAGACCATTTTATCCGAGTATCCCCACCTGTACAGATTGAACCCACTTTCTTTAAAATGCAATCATGAAGGAATCGACCACTGCGTCATCTATTGATTACATCGATCAAGTTTTAAATAACTCTCCAGGGAAGATACCAACTTGTTCAATTTGTGTAAAACGCAAATGACATCTGTATATATTATCTGCCTGCATATGATCACGTCTAGGATGCATATCAAATATATGTTCATAGATACATCAAAAACCATGATAGCCTTTCGCCACAACCTCATTTATGTCAAATATCAATTTTTGGAAAATAGTACTGTTGGTACTTGACTCACACGGTGTTATGTTATTAGTTTTCTGGACAAAAAAAGGCTGGAATCGCCACCTAAAAATTTACGCAGAATGTCTAAAGACTAAGCATGAGTACTGTTTATACCAAGAAACATCCTTTGAAGAGTCAAATTGATCCATGAAATCGTTTGTCTCTAAAAATGTAGAAAGAACTTTACAGTTCAGATTTTGGACGGACAATTTACGACACCCCAAAATTTACAAAAAGACCCTAAATTTAGCAGTTGTAAGAAAGATATTCAATAAAAATCTTAGATCAATGCATAAAATAGTTTAGCTTGACATTCTTGAAGACAAGACTTCAAAGACAAGATTTTAGGATGAAAGATCCAAAAATTGGCCTACAATAAAAAAGCTAATATAAATTTTCGCCAATTTTTCTTTCCAAAATTATCTCAATAAACTAATGTTAACAGTGATATATACCTCGACAAAGATGTGCCACTATTGTTTACAGACAGACAGATGGACAGCCAGATGGGCAGACTGACGGATAGACTGACGGATAGACAGACACGTGGGTGATTGCAACATAAAATTGATCAAATTAGGAATCCATTTAGTTTGAAACAAAATTGACCTTTCAAGGACGCTTGCATTTTTTAAGAATGAAAATGACAGAAAATGAATAAATAAAGATATTACAAGCAGCGTTCTTCAGAACATTAGAATCAAACCAGAGCCTCTGTACTTGTAACCCATATCGATACATTTAAAATGCTTTTTCAGAACCCAAGAAAGAAACCAAAGCCCCTGTAAATGTAACCCATATTGATACATTTAAAAAGGCTTTTTCAGAACCCTAAAAAGAAACCAAAGCCCCTATAAATGTAACCCATATTGATACATTTAAAAATGCTTTTTCAGAACTCCAGAAAGAAACTTAAGCCCCTGGAAATGTAACCCATATTGGTACATTTAAAAATGCGTTTTCAGAACCCAAGAAAGAAACCAAAGCCCCTGTAAATGTAACCCATATTAATACATTTAAAAAGGCTTTTTCGGAACCCAAGAAAGAAACCAAAGCTCCTGTATATGTAACCCATATTGATACATTTAAAAAGGCTTTTTCAGAACCCTAAAAAGAAACCAAAGCCCCTGTAAATGTAACCCATATTGATACATTTAAAAATGCTTTTTCAGAACCCCAGAGAGAAACCAAAGTTCCTGTAAATGTAACCCATATTGATACATTTAAAAAGGCTTTTTCAGAGCCCAAGAAAGAAACCAAAGTTCCTGTAAATGTAACCCATATTGATGCATTTAAAAAGGCTTTTTCAGAACCCCGGAAAGAAACCAAAGCTCCTGTAAATGTAACCCATATTGATACATTTAAAAAGGCTTTTTAAGAACCCTAGAGAGAAACCAAAGTTCCTGTAAATGTAACCCATATTGATACACTTAAAAAGGCTTTTTCAGAGCCCCAGAAAGAAACCAAAGCCCCTGTAAATGTAACCCATATTGATACATTTAAAAGGCTTTTTCAGAACCCTAGAAAGAAACCAAAGCCCCTGTAAATGTAACCCATATTGATACATTTAAAAAGGCTTTTTCAGAACCCTAGAGAGAAACCAAAGCTCCTGTAAACGTAACCCATATTGATACATTTAAAAATGCTTTTTCAGAACCCCAGAAAGAAACCAAAGTCCCTGTAAATGTAACCCATATTGATACATTTAAAAAGGCTTTTTCAGAGCCCCAGAAAGAAATCAAAGCCCCTGTATATGTAACCCATATTGATACATTTAAAAGGAGGAGGGAAATTAGTGCAACAGATTTTTGGACAGTCATATGTTGGATTTTGGCCATTTTCTGACAATTTAAACAATAGCATATATTAGGCTAATGCATTACCTCCAGGAAAATCGCTTCTAGAGATGATAAAATAATTTCGACTTTGAGACAGGGTAGATGCAAACAACCCACCCACATGTTTTTTCTGAAATGGTTTCCTGATTTTCAACCCCTTCCATCCTTGCTTTTTTAATTTTTCTTGCATCGGTATGTTGCATTTTGACGCATAGTTAACCACTTTAAAGGAATAAGTCATTCCTTCAGGGGTTTTAAAGATACCCATTATGGGTGACCAAACTTAGCTGAAAGCAATGATTTTTCCTATGGGAAAATAACATGGGAAATATTGTTTTCCACTTTATTCAAAAGGAATCATTTATTCCTTTTAAGGGATTAGCTATGTGTCAAAACGCAACATATTGATGCAAGAAAAATTAAAAAAGCAAGGATGGAAGGGGTTGAAAATCAGGAAAACATATGTGGGTGGGTTGTTTGCATCTACCCTGTCTCAGAGTCGAAATTATTATATCATCTCTAAAAGTGATTTTCCTAGAGGTAATGCATTCGCCTAGCATATGCACCTGTTTAAATCCCCAGGAAATGGCCAAAATCAAACATATGACTGTCCAAAATCTGTTGCGCTAACTTCCCTCCTCCTTTAAAGGCTTTTTCAGAGCCTAAAACTAAGTATTTAACTTTAAGTAATTTTTATACTTGGGAAATACTCAAGTAATTCATTTTTAAGAGTGACAATGCGCAACCTTTTGGGGGTCATAGCCCCTATAACCTGTATATATGTTACATTGATTTTAAAAAAAATAAAATAAATAAAAATGATCAGCTGTTCATGATTAAATTTTCACACATAGCTATACTCGTACTTGTATGCAAGGTCACGGTCGGCCAATCCGAACACATTGCATTGCATTATCATTTAACCCTACCACGTGACCACGTAAATAGGGGATTCAGGCGACAGTGTAGTTGCAAATGGAGGACGTGAGTTTATTTCTATATTTCTGAAGGTAAACTACATTTTACATATCTTCCCATCAAGCAGTTTGCAGACATGTATTAGTACCAGAAACCCACTATAGACAAATATATAAGCACTAGTGCCAAAGGGAAAGGAACAAAAGTTGTAATGGAACTTAGCAAGATAAAACAAACTCTAAGTGCATACCAGTCAAGAAAAACAAACCTCATATATCCCAAACCCATGATCTATCGTGAAAAGAAACAATGTCTTATACCCCCTTTCCCCCACCATTCAAGAGGGAATCTACAACAGACTCATCGGATAATGAGGAGATTCCGACACGGTAAAGAGCCGTAAGGAGCCCACTTAAACCTCAAAGAGGTAAGGAGAGTCTACAGATAGTTCCAGGAGGACTTCAATAAGTCGCCAAGCAATGTAGAGACTCCCCAGACAGTAAAGGGCAACTTGGAGTATAGAAGAGTACTTGAGAGACATTAGGAGCCTAGAAGATTGCCAAAGAGCCACGAGGAGCAAAGTAGAGCGCAAATAGCCAAAAGGAGCGTAGTAAAGCGCGAAGAGCAACAATGAGCATAATAGAATATTACAGAGCATTGAAGAAGTATGGGGAGCACTAAGAGCTGCACAGAACCACAAGGAGTCAAGAGGGGCAAAGAGGAACGCTGAAGAGCCTCTTCATCCTAGACAGAGGGAAAAGCACTGAATAGTTGCAAGCAGAGAACTCTCAAGAGGAATCACAAAACAGTATGGCCGCTACCAACAAACAAGGGCGAAGTAACTTTTTAATTTATGGACGTAGGGATCTGTTAGTTTCTTGTTGTATAAATTGTTGTATAAATTTTCTGAAATTCTCTAAAAATCCCCAAAGTAATACTTTATTTGTGGAAAGCTAAAGATTTTTACAATCACATAAATATCATAAATATGTTTTATTAATGAAGTACATGTATACAGTACTGTATTACATACCCAGCGAAGCATTTGTATTGAAGTCAATGGAGCTGAAGGTCGGCTATATATTCCTGTATAGCCGTCAAACTTTTTACAATGACAATCTTATGACGTCATCGGGACGTCATGTTTCATTTCTTCCTAATTTCACTCGCACACAGACACGTGGCGTCAATGATATAACGTAGCCATGATATTATACAAATAGTGACTGCCATTGAGGGCAATAGTGTAAATTATTTCCCCGAGGGAATATCCTCTACAATGTACTATTCCCGAAGCCGCAGGCTGAGGGAATAGTACATTGTAGAGGATATTCCCAAGGGGAAATCATTTACACTATTACTCGAAATTAGGCAGTCACTATTTGTTTTATTATATACCCTATACTGACTCTTGTCCCGTTTCCTCTGCGAAGGCCAAAACGGCTTAGAAAGCCCCCTCCCCGGGTCCATTGTAAGCATTATAAGCTGTGACGTCATCAGATGCTCAACAGAAATTTTTGCCTCTGAGACTCTCACTTGACAAATTCAATCGCGTTTAACACGCGGAATAGATTATCATAACACTTGAAATTACACAGACGTATTGAGCTTAGGGAACTTTATACACGTTGCTTATATTGTATCGTTCACGCACGTCTGTCATGGTGAAAGTTGATTTGTGTTTGTGCTCATCCTCCATTTTTCTGTTTTTCGTCTGCACAGTGATGATGCGCAGACGTTTCCAAGGGTAATAGAACTTGCAATTGTGACGTCAGCGGGCAATAGTTCAAATGTATATTCCCGCTGACGTCACATTTGAGGGAATATAACTTTCCGAGGGAAATAGTAAATCTATTTCGGAACACGTGACTAGGTATTGACCAATCAAGATTAGTGTTACATATTGGGTATATAATAAAAAAGTATGTAATACAACAGTTATGTCCGTATCATTGAATATATGCCTTCGGTCTGTCGTAATATAGCCCTCGCAAGCTCGGGCTATATTGGTGACAGACCTCAGGCATATATTCAATGATAGGGACATAACTGCTAAAAAATCACTGTTAAACCAAAAGTGCGCCATAGACCTTTCGATGCCGATTTCCATCAGAAATTCCCAAAGGAATTAACTGACTGCTGTATCGAAAGCAAAAAATCCATGTTTCTTTGCAATATTGGCTATTTAAAATTCACAAAATATGGACCCATGTAAGAATCTTTAGATCCATGAAAATATAATCAATATTGAGATATCGATGTAAAGTGATTGTATAACGACGGGTAGTGTATAGGCCTATACTTTAATTATCATGCATTTTATGATTAATAATTTACAATTAGATTCATAAACGTTAGATGGATAATTGTATAATTTCATGTTTCACTTATTAGATTGAAAATTGCGTCGAATGATTTTATTTTGCATATGTCACAAATGGTTTTGATATATGATTGATGTATTCCATTGTTGATGTTTAATTGGTAAATTGGTAAAATGTGGTTGATCGCTCCGATAAATAACACAAATTTGGTAATTTTTTGATCTTTTAAAATTTAATTTTCAATACACCAGCAATTTAAAAGTTCTATATTATGCAATTTAAAAGTTCTATATTATGCAATTATGATGATTTTCATTTCAATCCAATTGCCTAAGAATTGAAACAGTGACAATCGAAGCTAAGCTTGTATTCGTGAATGCAACTATCGGCTTACGGATTAACCTACTGTTGTATATTGGCAACTCATTTATTTAAATATTCCATTCCATTCATATTCATATAAATGACTTGGTCATGAAATAGTAGGTTTATCCGGTAGCCAACAACCTAAAGTTGCATTCATACAAGTTAAAGGGTGACGCATATAGTTTAGCAAATCGAACGCTCGTTTCTGGTGTTGCTCACCGTTTAGTATAAAAGGCCCGATCCCGGAATAATACTCAAGGGTTCACAGGCTCGAGGTCGTTGTGTCAACACCTCTAACTGTTATATAGCATAAGTATATTATAGATCGTCACACATTTATAAAAGGGTGATTTTTATTTTGACAAATCAATTCCACATTTATGGGTGAAGTTTCAGGATCTTCTATTTGTGTATAATAAGGAATAATTGGCATCTAAATTTCCCCATAACGTTATAGCACACAGCTTGGCATATGAAATATCCTACAAATGAAACAAAGCAAGACAAACCGGTTTTCTAATACAAGAATTTATATTGGCTGTTGTACATGTATTATTTGAACGCAATCACTCTTTGGATAACGTTTTCAAAATCATTATAAACGTATTACTTTATCTCAAAGACAATTTCAATAAACTGGATTTTACAGAACTCCCCTTATTTCTTAAAAATGGACTGATCCAGTTGATTCGCCTGGAGCCGCCATATTGTTTTTATACGGGATACTAATCGGAACCCTTTAAGCCTTTCATGCACAACGTGTACTCCTAATGGATTTGCGAGTAAATAGCGGCTCAGTTCAGCCGCATTATGTGTTTACAAATCATCAATATGTGTTTACAAATCATCAAATTAGGCAACTAAAAAAATACTCCTCAAAAATTTAGGTATGTATGCACAGGGACGCTGTGTAGTTCAGGAATGCGTTTTTGAAGTGCCCGCGACGCAAGAATATTGCATAATACTTGTACTGCGTTTTTGAAGTGTCCCCGGGGCAGGTAGGCCTATATTATATAATATCTAATGAGTCTTCCTTCTAGGTATTATGAAAAAGATCAATGACCCCATGCGTTGCAAATTACATGCTCGCACGTTTTCAACAAAATCAGTTTATCAACCTCGCTGTGGAAACCTTTTCGGCTGCTCGCGTGGGTCAACCCCGTCTGCTCGTTGCTAGTGCACGGCAGAAGTTCCACTGCAATAAACCATGGTCGCTTTTAAAAGAATTATGTGAGTGTAGATGCGCTTGGATAAGCTATTTATGTTGAAAATACATGACAATGTAATTTGCAATGTAAATTGTATTGAAAAAGAACAATGAGCCCATGCGTTGAAAATTATATGCTCACGCGTTTTCAACAAAAGCAGTTCATCCAAGCGGACTTAACCTGCTAATTACGCTGTGGCAACCTTGGCGGCTACTCGCGTGTGTCAACAAATTCTAAATAAAACTATTTCTGTAAAAAGTTGGTGAAGCAGTTGCCTCGCCTGCCTCATACCTTGCAACGCCCATGTTTATCCTACAACTTTCGCGGCCGCTCGAAATTCGTACAGGCTCAGGAAGTACGGAATGTTTGGAATTAGCACTATATTTTGGCACAACTTGGACACAAACATGGACGACATAGACAAACAAAAATTGCAATCTAATTGTTTTGAAATATACTTTATTTACACTGTATTGACGGAACGTGTATACTAATCAACACCGGCGACATTGTTATCAAAGTATATAGAAGTTATTTAGTTGGGGGCAGGAATATGAATTGTATTCCGCGGGAAAATACGATATTGACCAAGGAGGCCAATAACATATTTTCTCAAGGAAAAAATTCTTATTCTTCAAGACCATCAATATCCTATTTTTATTCCATAATATTTCTGATACGGAATTTTGGCAGAAACGGGACCTCCACATCCAAGATGGCGGACGGTAATTGTCGAAATCATTTCGACATTTTTAGTTTTCATCGTATTAAACCACTTTATAGTTTATATTATGCTTTGGTATTTAAACCAAATCAGGCTCGTGTGACATGGGAACTCAGCAGTATGAAAATTTGTTGGTATATTGTGCGTGTGCGCCACAGTTCAACAATATCTTCCATCGCTTAAGAGAAAGTAAGTGGAAATGTATGATACGGTAACAGTCGTGTTAGTTATCAATAAATTCGATGTCATATGCGCCTGATATAATTCAAATATCAAAGCATTAGGCCTACATCAACTATTAAGTAGTTTAATTCGATAAAAACTGAAAATTTTGGTGAAAATATTACGGCCGTTACCTTCGCTTGATACTGACCAGTGGTACTTCTTAATCAGAGATAAATCATTGAATTTTAAAGCTCTTTGTCCAGCGTCTACCCCATTTATCATAGTATTTCACTGGTTCGATATTATGTATCCTTTCCGGCGCTGAACACGTCACAGGCAATCCTTGGGAATGCTTTAAGTTGTCCAATAGATTCATGGCATTTTGAAACTTGTTGCTCATCTGAACGACAGTGCTACTATCTTTATTTCTGTGTCTTTTCCGAGATTTAGTCGACTGACTTGGACTGGTGTGTATATTGGCCATGCTTGTTGTGAATATAGATTGATCTGTCGCACTCAGCGAATTATTCGAGTTTGAGGAAAAATGCATGAGTTTGGGAGAAAGGGATCGGTCGGTGTCAGATCCTAACGGATTTGCGATGGGAGTGGCGTCGGCTGTTTTATTTGGCGCTGGTTCAACATAAATCCCAGGTAGTTTAGGTGTGTTTGTTGCGCGCACTTCAACTAGAGCATCGCTCGTGGTATTGCTCTTCAGCTCTGGAGTCACAAAAGTTCTTAGTAGCGCATCATCGATAATAATGTCATTTTCACCAACGGGTGTTGCTTCTGTTTTATTGGTAGGAGCATTATCAACAGATTTTACTAAAGTTCTAGAAATCGGGCGTTGGTGCTTAGTTAAAACGTCCGGTTTTCCATTCTTCCCCGGGGCAATGTCGATCATGATCTGATTGACATTGGCTGGGGTTTTGGTTCTTTGTAGGAGGTTTTTATATTCTGGGTACGTGTTGCGTAAATTTGATAGGAGCACATCTTCGTAACCCTTTAGCATAGCGAATTGAGCCTCCGCAGATAATGTGGCGCAGAATCGTGGGGACGCCGTTTCTTCATTGTCGTCCTCGTCGGAACTGTCACGATCCACCGTTGAATACCTACGAGATGTCCGCGATAGCCTCCTTTGCTGTTGTAGGAGCACACTATGTCGTCTGCTATGCACTTCCGGTGATAGATTGTAAGAAGGTCGTCTGCTAGAAACAGAAAGTCGTCTGCTCCCAGTATCAAAATGAGGCAATTGTAACCCAGTCATGTGACCAGTGACATATGATTTTGGAGAGAAATTAGAATTGTTCCCTGTACTAGCAATTGATCCATTACGACTTGATGTGGAGTATCGTTTCTTAGAATAATCAAATGAGTCCTGTGCGAGCTGATGACAATCATTCTTTTTCGTTATGCTTAGTTTTCTGGGATCCTTTGCCTGCGGGCGCTTTCTATACGTATCAATAGGAACGAGGTCGGGAACTACACTGACTTCACTGATTTCACGCGTCAGTTTTTGGTTAGGTGTTTCAAGTGAACGCTTGTGATTTCCTGTATTAGAATCACTATGATCGTCTCCATCATGCTCATTATGATATTTATGACCGCCTTCATCGGGTGATATAGGTCCAATGACATTCTCCATTTCTATCAAAGCAGCACCGTTTTCCGTACTGTCTCCAGTTGCAATGCTGTCGGTTATGCTTACATCAGTTTCGGTTTTTGGTAGATACTTTTTCACAATGGTTGTTTTGTCGACATCCTGTGCATCAACCACGTTGTTTGTTTGTTTTTCCTTTGGTAAATGTTCCATCTTGTATGTTTGTTTGTTCCTTGTTGCTTGAAACTGTTCATTTTGATTATCCCATAGTTTTTCAGGTTGCCTAACAGTAGCTAATTTACGCTCGCGTTCTTCTTGTGATATTCCTTCACTGGCGTTTCTAGACGAACTCACATCACTGTTGCCATAAGAAACTATAGTCGTTGTCTCATGGGTGCCTTCATCGCATTCTTCCTCGCTTTCTAATTCATTAATATTTGATAAATAGCGTGAATCAAGCGACTTGAATATCAATTTTGATTGATCCTTCAACAATGGGCCCGAAAGCTTTCGTTGTGTTTTCAACGGGCGAGATCTGTACGGACGTGAATAATTCATTGCCAGAACCGGACGCAAAATGTTTCAGAATCTCACTTTATTCATGTACTCCTACTATTTTAGGTTTAGAGGAACAAATCGACTGCCGATTGCTTTACAAATCTGATCGTTGTTCGGCGTTTACAAATCCCTTGGTACTCAATCTAAACTCATTAACGATTCTCGTAAGCGATTTCTGCCAATATCCGTTCTTGATGAGTTTATTTTGACGATCGTTCTTCGGAGTAATTACATTTTGAATGATATCATCAGCGCTTAATCAACGTCTCTTTCAGAATGTTTGCGCTATCTGACAATACCTGAAGCTATTTAATAGTTTCTTTGACGAAGTTCTATGAGGAGCGTCAATAGTTTGTCATTAAATAAGATAGGTATTTTCCCATAATCCTGATTAATCCAAGAATGCTTCCCTCTTCGTGAATACTACCGATACTGAAAGGCGTCATCGGTGTCCTCTTTTAGTGACTTTTCAGTCGATGAAAACCATTTATAAGTCGTCACAATAAGAATGATTGATATACAATTTATCTATAACATTTAAAAATGTCGCTTGCGTGGATCTGGGATCATGACCATAATTTCGGTCCAACATATATAAACTTCTATCCGGGTTCAAGTACGTCCATTTCTCTATCAGTATAAATAATCGAACGGGCTTGATTAAGGTTGTAAAATGTATTTGTTTTACTATGAATATCGCCATTAGGCACTTGACTTTTACCTAGGATTGTATCTAGTGGTTGATCCGAACGCTTTGATGAGGAACTAGCGATTAAGATACGGGTACTTGTAGAATTGTGTATATCTCTGTTATTTAGTTTCTCAACAAGTTGTACTGATAATAATGATATACAATATTCATAAAACCATTAAAACAGATCCTTGTGGAATTCTATTGGGAATTGCAGCGTATTATGGTGGATGGAACAAGTAGATTTTTATTGGAAAAACGTAAAAACAGATAGTAACTTTACATGTATAGCTACATGAATATTTAAAAGCCCTATAATTAATTGTCTGAAAACGGTATGTGAAGTCTTTTTCAAAATGAATAAACGAGGACATTCGAAATGGCAACTGTCTGATTGTCTTCCTTTATTCAGTCCACGGTTAATAAGTGCATCATCTTTAAATTTTAATGAGGTTGTCGATTTCGCTCTTAGAACACCTGTAATTGAGATATTCAAACTCGGTATAGCGAGTATTATTTAATAAGACACATCAATGCCATCATGTTGGTTAGGGTATTTCACCTTTACGTTTTTTGTGAATGTTTTAGTGCAGATTTTACAGTAGATGTCCTTAATGAGACGCATCAATACCATGTTGCTTTAGTTGTTTCACCTTTACGATTTGTATAAACGTTTTACCTTAGATCTTACAGTAAATCAATGCCATGTTTTACAGTAGAAGTACTTAATTAGGCGAATCGATGCCATGTTTCTTAAGGTGTATCACCTTAACGTTTTGTGTAAACGCTTTACTGTACATTGTACAGTAGAGGTCCTTAATGAGACGCATCAATGTCATGTTGCTTAAGTTGTTTCACCTTTACGTTCGTGTAAACGTTTTACCTCAGATTTTACAGTAAATCAATGCCATGTTTTACAGTAGAAGTACTTAATTAGGCGAATCGATGCCATGTTTCTTAAGATGTATCACCTTTACGTTTTGTGTAAACGCTTTACAGTACATTGTACAGTAGAGGTCCTTAATGAGACGCATCAATGTCGTGTTGCTTAAGTTGTTTCACCTTTACGTTCGTGTAAACGTTTTACTTCAGATTTTACAGTAGATCAATGCCATGTTTTACAGTAGAAGTCCTTAATGAGACGCATCAATGACATGTTGCTTAAGTTGTTTCACCTTTACGTTCGTGTAAACGTTTTACCTCAGATTTTACAGTAGATCAATGCCATGTTTTACAGTAGAAGTCCTTAATGAGACGCATCAATGACATGTTGCTTAAGTTGTTTCACTTTTACGTTCGTGTAAACGTTTTACCTCAGATTTTACAATAGATCAATGCCATGTTTTACAGTAGAAGTCCTTAATGAGACGCATCAATGACATGTTGCTTAAGTTGTTTCACCTTTACGTTCGTGTAAACGTTTTACCTCAGATTTTACAGTAGATCAATGCCATGTTTTACAGTAGAAGTCCTTAATGAGACGCATCAATGACATGTTGCTTAAGTTGTTTCACTTTTACGTTCGTGTAAACGTTTTACCTCAGATTTTACAATAGATCAATGCCATGTTTTACAGTAGAAGTCCTTAATGAGACGCATCAATGACATGTTGCTTAAGTTGTTTCACCTTTACGTTCGTGTAAACGTTTTACCTCAGATTTTACAGTAGATCAATGCCATGTTTTACAGTAGAAGTCCTTAATGAGACGCATCAATGACATGTTGCTTAAGTTGTTTCACTTTTACGTTCGTGTAAACGTTTTACCTCAGATTTTACAATAGATCAATGCCATGTTTTACAGTAGAAGTCCTTAATGAGACGCATCAATGACATGTTGCTTAAGTTGTTTCACCTTTACGTTCGTGTAAACGTTTTACCTCAGATTTTACAGTAGATCAATGCCATGTTTTACAGTAGAAGTCCTTAATGAGACAGACAAAATCGATGGCATGTTGCTTCAGGTCCCGCTTAAGGTGTTTCGCCTTTACGTTTTGTGTAAACGTTTTACTGTAAATTTTTTACAGTAGAGGTCCTTAATGAGACGAATCAATGCCATGTTGCTTAAGGTGTTTCACCTTTACGTTTTGTGTGAACGTTTTACTGCAGATTTTACAGAAGAGGTCCTTACTGAGGTGTAGATGTAGCCCTCTAGTGGACTGAAAAAGTTTGAAACAGAGATCGCACTGGCATTGTTTCTCTCCTTTGTGTATTTTACCGTGACCTTTGACCTCCATTACATCATCCAAGCGTGTCTTGCATACGTCACAGAACCGATTGTGTTCAACCATAGTGTGGTATTCTAGACATCTAGATGTGGGGTATTCAACATTACACTCCTTACAGGGGTATTTTGTCTGATCAACTTCCACATACTCTGAGGAATTCGAACCCAGTATGGAGGACTGTTGTTGGTTGAAGAAGGGGGATCCAGAAACCATATGTTGGGGGTCTTGAAACTGCCATTGTGAGAATTGTTCCGGCCCTGGAAATACATTCAATGTTAGTATTTAAGACCCGGTAATAAGGCTTAATATTTGTTTGTTTTCTGGAATTATTTCAAGTAAATACAACTGTTGACAAAACTGTTAATGATACCTTTGCCTCTATTATATATTAGACAATATATCGTACTCATGAATTTAATATAATAATTATCAGTATTCATTAAATGAAAACAATTTTTACACCTTTTAGCATACATGTATGTATTTCACATGTAATAAAACACAGAAAGTTTATTTCTAAATTAATAGGTAAAATTGACTGCTAATTGAAGTTAGTAATATTGCCTGTACTTCTCTCTTAATAGTAGCAATATACATATGCATATCTAAACATATAAATCTTATAAATTAATGCCAAAGCATTATGTAAATTTGTTGTGCCTGGCCTGCCTACCTTAAGACACATCAGATCAATCAAAGTATTTGAACTTCGTCCACCTTAAAACGCATCAATCAAAGTGCTCAACATAACTTTAACTATTTATTTCAGTTATAATACTTAATATGAATTCTTCTGAACAGCTTAAATAAACTCATCTTAAATTATTGTTCCTACTGTATGTATCCTTTTCCATATAAACTGAAAAATAGATGGCATCATGGGTATTGGTAGGGCTAGGGTAGAGCTAGGATACATGTAAGTGTATTGTCAGAGTCACTTAATTTTTTGTTTTAAGAAGTAATTCCATTTGGATCAACTTAAAACACCACTGGAATATAACTATACCGTCTTTTTGACATATGGCTTGTGATTTGAGTGATTTCACCTTAAAATTGTGATCCTTGTAATAGTAAATGAACTTTTAAAGGTTTTTCAGCATTGTGTCAATGGGGATTAAGCCCGACTTTTTTTAGACAACTAGAAAATCATTAGAATTTGAATAAAGGTGAATAATGGTCCAAATCAAAGTTGTTTTGGAAGAAAATTACACATAGAATTCAAATAGAAGAAAATGTTAGTCTTTCATGGTTAAAAATGCAGATCTCCTAAAATCTCATTAAAAACGAGACTTTAACAAGATTTCAAAGCTATATGGAAAAAGGACCATTCTAAGTCCAATGGTCTCATTTGTTACAATCCTCAATATACAATCAAAGGGGTAACCAGGCAACGAGCCGCTTAGTGGATAAAGTTCAAAAAAAAATTATCAGCATGAAAGAGCCGTGAAAGTGTCCTTGTATTGTGATTATAAGGTTATACCTGTCAAGCCTGCTAGCATGTGTTTAATTTTGACTAACATAAAGATATTTTCAAAATGACACGATTACATAGGAAACTAGTGTTGTAACAAACTTGCCTTGTAAAATCCTCTTCGCTTCTGTCCATAACATAATTTATTGAAAAATACCATATTGGCCTTGATATCATAATAACAACTACAGATACATACAAGACTCCATGATTTTTATTGTATAAAAGTTTCACTAATAGTTGGCCCTCTTCACCCTTACCATCCTCACTGATGGACCATAACTGGGGAGGGTAGGCCCTAAAGTGGGCCCTTTTGTTTCATTCTGGGCCTTCATTAGCAATTTTAACCATTTGAAAAGATGAACCACTTCCAAAAATTTGATCCTTGGCTATGTTCTAATTTTCACATTTATTAATGTTACATGTGAGTCTCCGTGAGTTTATGTGTGAGACTTCATATGTTTACATGCTAGACTTCATATGTTTACATGCTAGACTTCATATGTTTACATGTGAGACTTCATATGCTTTATTTTATAGTTATACGTAAATGTTTTAGCACAAATCTGGCACTGCAAATCCTTGCTTAGATGCAACATCAGCCCACTGTTAGTTTTGAAAAGTTTATAGCACTTGAAACATTGGTGCGGCTTGGCTCCTGTGTGATTCTTCCCATGTTCCATGACCTCGTCATTGCTGAGTGCATCAAGACGACAATTACATACATCGCAGAAACGATCGTGGATGACCTTTGTATGGTATTCCAAGCATCGCATACTAGGGAAGCTATAGCCACAAGCTCCACATGGATAGTCATGCTGGACTTCTTTTGGCTCGGGGAGACCATCCAATGAGAAGTTAGTGTTGGTATCACGTGACTGGTTTGAGAATGAATCGTGTGGTAGGTGAAGTGAGCTTCTGGGGGTCCCAGGAGAGGAGTTGATCATATACGGGGTGTCCATTCCTGGAAAGGAGATGGATGAAATATTAAAGGGAGGCTGTGAGTTAAAAGAAGAAGCAGATCTATAAGGGGTGCCAAAATTACAAGCAAGATGATCATTTGACCTACAAACCTATTCCTTACAATCTCAAATACAATATCTCATAAAATATCTGTGATAAGTTATAAATTGGTGAATTTATTAAGGCATTAACATACAAAATGCCACCTGCCATTTGTTACAGGTGCTAACCACCAATACCAACCACTGAATGCTGAACACCAACGACCGTCCACAAAAAAAATTGGAGACTACTATATAACAAAATGTCGTCACTTGTGGTGGTTAGTAATGACATAAAAATGGTAACTAGATTAGTAGAAAAATAATACAGGGTGGTCAAAAAAAACGGCAACCCTAGTTTTTCCTAATATCTTTGTCATTTTAAGGAATAACTCCCTGATATTTTACACATTTGTACATCATTCAATTTCCTACCATCCTACCATATTTCATGACCATCGGACTGATAGTCACAATATATCTGCATTTTAAGCAACATACCCCAGATGGCCACTTTCGGGCTGTCTGAGCTGGTCTGTTATCCAAATGAACTCCATTTTCAACTTGATACACTGGTGAACTGTAACAATTATGTATTCTTGGGGAGCCAAGCACTTTATGAAGAAGTGGAGAGGCACTTTCACACAGACAGATGCACAGTTTAGTGTGTTCTCAGAAGATTGGGTCCTTTACCTTTGATGATGCTAACAGATATGCAATAACTGTCAACATCAAAGTCAAAGTCCATGATTCCCATGGAGTTCTTGGGGACTTTAGGTGAACCCAGGGTGGTTGAAAGGCAGCAACAGTGGTTCCAACAAGACAGAACCATACCCCATACACCAAATGATGCACAATATTGGCTTTGGGACCACTTCAATGACCACATTATCAGCAGTACAACAGACAATGAATGGGCACCCCATAGTCCAGATATGGCCCCATTTAATCTTTACCAGTGGGGATACCCAAAAGATAGAGTGTAGGGTTATAACACCAGAAACACATTTGACCTCAAAATAAAGATCACATGTGTCATTCAGGCCATACTTGCTGAGGGATGCAGTTATGTCACTGACAGGTTTGGAAAACATGTGCAGGTTTGCCTACAGCACGATATTGGAGAACTGGGGCATCTTGTTTAAAGTGCTGTAACATTGCGATTGTCTGTCCAATTTTCATGAAATAACACAGTCTAGTATGAAATTGAATGATGTACATGTGTGCCAAACATCAGGGCAAAATTTCCAAAAATGACAAAGATATGAGGAAAAATTAGGGTTGCCGTTTTTTTTTTACCACCCTGTACATTATGGTAAAAATCTTTAGTTCTGCTGGTATGTACTTTGTTTTTTAGAAAAAACATGACAATGGATGGATTATGAGCAAAAAGTATTCTTAATAAAATAGAAACAAGTTTTGATAAGCTTGCTACCTAGATCTGTATCTTCCTGAAAATTAAATATGGAAAAGTCCTTGGGACTAGGATCCTTGGATAATGCCAATCTAATACAATTAAATTTCATCTGACTGTTCACTGATTTCTGCTTCAAAATATATTCTGAACACATTAGAATGACTCAACAGACAATAGATGAAGCTAATACCAATATATATTTTCTTAACAATAGATAACACCAATGTTAATCTAAAATACTATAAGTACCACCAATGTTTGTGAAAAATACAGAAGTGCAGTGGTGTACACAAATATATCACTTTAGGGTACAGTTAGAACTAATGTCCTATACCTCACCATGATACTGTTTCATATGCTTTTAACTAATGTCCTTTAGGGTACAGTTAGAACTAATGTCCTACTCCCCACCATGATACGGTTTCATATGCTTTAAACTAATATCCTTAAGGGTACAGTTAGAACTAATGTCCTATACAACACCATGATACTGTTTCATATGCTCTGGACTACTGGAGCATATAGCTGGACTACGCTCCGAAACGCAATCTTGGGTTTTTTCGGGGGTGAACTTTATCATTTTGAGCTTAATGAAAGATTATAGAATGATGAACAAATGGGGCAAATCTTGTGTAGAAATACTTACGATAAATGTGTCATTTCAAAGATTTTTCATTGAATTTGCTTCGATCGGAGCCGGCGATATGATTTTGGAAAGGTTTCTAAATGAAGAACGTGACTTCACTTCCGAATCATAGCATTCAAAATAAGTAGCGTTTAATTACTTGCATCATTCATAATAATACAGTGGTGTAGCGGTAGAATCCTCGCTAAGCACGCGGGAGGCCCGGGTTCGAATCCCGCATTCGCCTTTTTATTTTTTTAACTAAATGATTGTTCTTTGATATTACGCAGAAAAAACAATTTTTATTTACATAAACTTTATATTAGAGCTTGAAAATGTAAAAACAATATTGTCAACATATTGCGTTTTGGAGCGATGTGCAGGTTTAAACAAATGTCCTTTTGGGTACAGTTAGAACTAATGTCCTACTCCCCACCATGATACTGTTTCATATGTTTTAAACTAATGTCCTTTAGGGTACAGTTAAAACTAATGTCCTATACCCCACCATGATACTGTTTCATATGCTTTTTAACTAATGTCCTTTTGGGTACAGTTAGAATTAATGTCCTACTCCCCACCATGATACTGTTTCATATGCTTTAACTAATGTCCTTTAGGGTACAGTTAGAACTAATGTCCTATACAACACCATGATACTGTTTCATATGCTTTAAACTAATGTCCTTTTGGGTACAGTTAGAACTAATGTCCTATACCCCACCATGATACTGTTTCATATGTTTCAAAGTAAGATGAGGCTGAAATGTCTTTCCGCACAATTGACATTTGACATCCTTGGCAAGATGTAGATTCAAACCTCCTTGCGATCTGAACAGTTTATAACAATGTCCACATTGATGGGGCTTGCTTCCTTTGTGTTTTAGCCCATGGTGCTGGATATCCGGCTCAGAATCCAGGCGATCGTTACAAATGTCGCAGTATTTACTGTGTACTTGGAGAGTGTGGTATTCAAGACAACGGCAACTGGGGAAATCCCTAGGGCACTGCTCACATTGGTAGTTTATATTTAGTGTCTCTGTGAAGGTTTCACTTTGGCTAGATGATGCTTTCGAGTGGTTGGAGCTACTGGTTGTTCGGCACTCTGTTGCTAAGAGATCGTGTTGTGGTTGCTGTTGTTCCAGTTGCCATAGAGATGAGTAATTCCCTGCAGTATAATAAAACAACAGATTGAATTGTTTGCTGACATGACATGACTGCCTGATTATTGTTGACATGGTGATAAGATTTTGACACAATACTGTAGTAGTTGGAGACTGCAGGATAGAAAAAGTATTGTACATTAATATGTATGTAGTACAATAGTAAATGTATGTAGTACAATAGTACTGACTCAATGTGTGCTTTCTTCTGATAATTTAGACACTTATACAACCCATATGCATCTTTTTAAAACTATTTATGAATTAATATACAGTATATTTTCTAATTTTTAAAGTATGTGTTCCATGTTAATCCAATGGATAACTTTATTTGATTATTATGTAATCAGGGGGTCTAACCAGAAACTTTGTAAAGTTGAGAATTCCAAAATCAATTGTTGTTACCATGGAAATGATGTCATAATTAGAGTAAAAGGAAATTAAGGAGTTCCTAACTTTACTTTAATGTATCTCTTTTAATAACCCAGATCCCAGGAGGTAGTTACCAGTTTCACCACCAGGTGGTTATCCAGTTCAGGTCAGATGACATGGCAGATATAGGAGAAAGTTCATTCATCAGTTTTAGTGGATCAATTTTCATATTACCCTGATCATGGGCTTTCAATATCTATTGAATGCCCATGCCCTGGTGTATCAGAAAGCTATACAAATTAAAATATGTCCAGTAAAAGAAAATGTCATCTGTCCAATACAAGAAAAGATCTTCACTTTTGTGATTTTATAACATGGGGTGTATGGGGAATCAACCCCACCTATAAGTCACATTTAAAATAAAGTTTTGAAAATCGATTTTTGGATTTTTAATGACGTATATTAAGATTGCATGGTCTATTAATAAGGTGATCTTACAATTTTATTGATTTTGGCAATTATGTAACTTATGTGATACTATTGCCAAATCAAAACAATTTACAACTTTATGTTTTGTATCTTCTGTATTTTCCCAAAGAATGCATCTCCTTGTCTTGCGGTTGCTTCTTCAATACCCTGGACCCACCCCCCAATTTTCTACTTCACTATACTCATTATCCTTTTTTTATTATTAAAATCAATGTAACATATTTACAGGTTGCAGTGGCTATGACCCCAAGAGGGAGTATTAAGTGCCGCTTAATGGTATTTACAATGATTTGTGATGAATTTTGCTCCATGAAAATATGCCAATTGTTCATGAAAGTATGCCAATTTTTTATGATCTTTCTAATTTTCTGGTGAGTATATGATAGATTTTCAACTGAGTGCAAGCTTTTTAAAAATCTCATATGAGTACACCACCATTGTAGTCAATTCTGGAGAGAACAACAATGTACAGCATACATTAAATTGTTTATTTCTAGCTGATGTCACTGTGTGTTCCATTTTCACTATTTTCCATTTCATTTTTCTATTTTCACTGTTTTCCATTTCATTCTTCCATTTTCACTGTTTTCCATTTACATTCTTCCATTTTCACTGTTTTCCATTTTCATTTTTCCATTTCATTTTTTCCATTTTCATTCTTCCATTTTCACTGTTTTCCATTTCCATTTTTCCATTTCATTTTTCCATTTTCACTGTTTTCCATTTTCATTCTTCCATTTTCACTGTTTTCAATTTTCATTTTTCCATTTTCACTGTTTTCCATTTTCACGGTTTTCCATTCTAATTTTTCCATTTTCACTGTTTTCTATTTTCAAAAGTTGCAATCCTTTTATGGGTCTAGCTATGTGTCTTGAGGTGTTCCCGCTTCTTATTTGTCGCAACAATTTTCCCACAGAGTTGACACTGGAAATCCTTACTGGTATGAATCATCAATCCAACTTGACTTTGAAATAACTTAAAGCAGAAATGGCATTGAAATTTTTTCTCTCCATGATGCTGCCGACTATGCGCCACTCTATCTATGACATCATCAAGTCGTTTATTACAAACGTCACAAAATCCAGCGTGTACGATGCTACTATGGTAATCCAAGCAGCGTTGGGATGGAAAATCCACCCCACATGAAGAGCATGGGTACGTTGTATTGATTTCAATCATATTAGAAATATTCAATGATGATTGGTCGACAGGGTTGCTATGGGCACCAGCTGTCCTTGTACTGTTGCTATTGTAACTGTATTTGATTTGATTGTTGTCATGGTTGTAATTAGCCATTGTTTCATGGTAGCCATGGTGATCAGGAGTTATCTGCTGTTGGGACCACAACATTCCTGCCAAAATTAAAGGAACAAAGTTTTTAAATAAATAGATTTAACTTATAAACCTCCTCTATAGTGTAGAATATTGTGGGTTTTATTTATTTATTTATTTGTGTGATGAAAAAAACTGAAAATGTGCTGTGCCATTAGTCACACCCTTAGTTATATGACAATTAATAAACACAAAAAGTTATATCTTATGACTTTTGATATTTCTGCATCTATGGTTTAAAGGAAACACAATGCCTTAATAGCATTAATAAAATCTATCTATTCTATTTTATAACTTTTCAACTCAAGTACTTGTACATGTACAATAATAACATAACATTATGAATTGATTTGTCTATACAAACTTTTATAAATGAACTTAACTTACATAATTCATATAATTCTCATATAATGTTCATGCATATATTGTATATACTCATTGTATTATATTGTATATAAACACTGTTAATATTGAATATCAACATTGTACATAGTTTCTATACCTTTCCCATCAAAACTGCTATAGAGAATGAAAAGAGAATGTTTGAATGAAACCTGAATATGATTCAAAATACATGCTCATATTTATAAGCAAAACATGATTTTTCAGATTCACTAAATGTTTGGTAAGAACCCAGAGAAATTGTTTCTTTAGTTCAACGTTTTAATACTGTGATCCTCATGTGATTATACAGGGTGTCAAATAAATAATATGTTCTCCTCAATTTCAAGAGAATGAACTTTTTTGTGCATAAAAGTACATCTAGTCAAGCTAGTCATCTGAAACTTATGGTGGAGTTGCTCCATGAAGCCTAGTTTTGTTGTGCTAAAGAACAAGTCAGACATCATGTAGATCTAGAGGAAAAAGTTATGCATTATGTTGATGTTAAAGCTAAGGAGGGGAAAACATATTTATTTGACACCCTGTATATATCTTACTGATGAGCATTTCTGTTTTCATAGCGTTTGTAGTTTTGGGAGAGTTTTTTTTTACGATACAATTTTTACAATACCTGATTGAGCAAGCCAATCTGTACTGACAAACACTTCTGTTCTCTTTGAGTAACAAAATTTTGCGGTAAAGATATAAAAAAATGTTGATTTTTACAAAACAGTGGAACCTGTAAAGTGGAACACCTTTGTAAGTGGAACACTTTTTAGAGTCCAAAGATCAACTGACTTCATATTAAATGGACCTATACAAGTGGAACACCTCCCAAGTGGAACACCTCCCAAGTGGAACACCTCCCAAGTGGAACCCCTCCCAAGTGGAACACATTTGAGAGGTACCAAATGTGTTCCACTTAAACAGGTTTTACTGTATCCTGATTTAGGAAACATAAAAACCATATATTGACAATATAAGCATAATGAAGTATTGACAATATAAGCATAATGAAGTTTTATTTCACATTCTTGATTGCCAGAAGTTCTGTAGTTTAAATGCAAGTTTACTTTCAAATGAGATATAATTTAATGAAAATTCAATAAATTCACATGATATCTGGAAAAACGAGTCACCAAGTCTCGTTCGACTTTAAACATTATTTCATACGTCTATTATTCAACTGAATTTATTTTAATACTTAAATATTCACCATCATTCCTCCATCTATAACTGTTTTTTATTGATCTAACTACTGGCCTCCCGATTTTAACAATTGATAATATAGTTCTACTACATCCGTTGAGGTGTTAATTTCCCAGCAGCCAGGTATGGTCTTCAATGAACAGAATATCTTCGGGCCAAAATTCCATACATCCTTGATAAATTCAAGTCTTCGTACACGATTCATGAATTCCATAGTGCAATCAAGTTCAAGGAATGGATTTGACTGGTGTTTTTCGGCAGGAGGCATTGGTTCAACTTTCGCAATGCGATTAATAAAAGGATTTGTTGTCAGAGTTGAAGAACTACTTGCGGAAGTGTCAATGTTACTATGGTAACCAAATTGAGTTGTTTCTATATTTAGTTGACTTCTGTCGATATCAATTCCCTTTGTTCTCCTACTGAGCTGTATGGCCTTTTCGCGATCAATTTCATAACTCAGTAGGGGGTCTTGTATCTGAGGTGGGGGTACAGAAAAGTTGGTCTGGGGGTAAGATACTGCTGGAGTGGGCAGAGCGGTTTGGGCCATTTGTGCACCAAGTACTGGATTTGTTTGTATGCCTGGCGGCGGGAAGGCAACATTTGATTGGACATTTGGAGTGATTTGGCCACCAAGCACTGGATTGGTTTGTAGCCCTGGGGGAGGAAGAGCTAAGTTTGATTGGAGGTCTGGGGTGGCTGGTCTTACTTGACCAGAAAGCTGTGGATTTGTCTGAACACCTGGTGGAGGCAAAGCTGATTGAAATTGTGGAGTGATTTGTCCTGTTTGTACACCAAGAACAGGATTGGATTGAACACCAGGGGGAGGCAAAGTCAGATTAGACTGAATGGCAGGTGTGGCTTGTCCAAGTACAGGGTTAGACTGTACACCGGGGGGAGGCAAGCCAACATGAGATGGTTCAACTCTTGGCGTGGCCTGTACTATCTGGGTATTTAAAACAGTATGAGATTGTACTCCATGGGGTTCATGACTGGCTCCCCCAAGGGCAACATTTGATTGGATGCTGGCATAATTAGCCATAGATGTAACTTGTACAACCTGGCTACCAATGGATTGAACAGCTTGGGCATTGACACCAATATTAGCCTGGCTGTTTGGATAACTAGCAGCTGGTTGGCTACTCTGATAGAGAACTGGCTGGGCTTGAAGATTTGGCTGACCAAGTGGGGTTACTTGAAGGTTGCTTGGTTGACTGGATGTGCCTGCATTTAGAGTCTTTTCCTGATTTACAGTTTGATTGGCAACTGGAGTTGTTTGGGAGGCTGGGATAGCTTGTTGAGCTTGTTGGGTCAAAGTGTTTGGAGTTTGGATCAAAGTGTTTGTATGTTGGGCCAATGTACTTGGAGCTTGCATCGAAATGTTTGGAGTTGGAGCTTGGGCCAATATGCTCTTTGCTTGAGTCAATGTGTTTGGAGCTTGGGCCAATATGTTTGTGGCTTGGATCAATGTGCTTGGAACTTGGGTCATTGTGTTCTGAGCTTGCTCAGCTTGGGCCAATATGCTTGTGGCTTGGGGCAATGTGTTAGGAGCTTGGGTCAATATGCTTGAAACTTGGGTTGAAAAAGTAGTTGAAACTTGGGTTAACATGGTTGGAGCTTGGGTTGATGGTTTTGGAGGTTGTGTCAACGTGTTTGTAGCTTGGGCCAATGGGTTTTGTGCTTGGGTCAAACTGTTTGGTGCTTGAGTCAATGTGGATGCAATTGGAACTTGATTCTTCTGTTGATTCTGTAACATAACTACTGCCTTTTCTTGTTCACTTTTCAAATGTTGTTCTGCTTTTTCCTGATTACTTAATTCACTCAAAGCCTTTTCTTTGGCTTTTTGTAGATTGAGCACATTATCTTCCTGGGTTTTTCCTTTTGCATCCTTTGTATTTTGATCATGTTGTGAACCAAGCACATCCTTTTCCTGGTCATTATCAGCTTTGCTCCATCGCGACTTTTTTACTTTTGTTGCTGAAAATTTAAAAGATATAGTTTAAGAGATATTCTGACCGTCATTTATCAGTCACATCTGATCTATGGCAAACATTTAGCGGCCATAGCTCCCAAAATCGAGAGAAATATGCAGCGTAAAGTATTGTGTTAAGCAATTCATAGATTTTCGATATTGATTTTGTGAAGCTAGGCCTGCAGTGCGGCCGCCACAGAGCAAATGTGACTGAGGCTTTATGGATGTTTTCCAAATGTAGCCACAGATAAAGTTATAACATTATGATATAAATCCTGCCCTTTTTCCACATATGAAATCCTTAAGAATTAATATTCTTCACTAAAGAAATTATTCTTCCCGTCCTCCCTCTAATGAAATGGAACTTGTTTTTTACAAATGTTGACGTTTGGCAATCATCCTTTACTTTCCATATTTTATAAATCATGTATGAAAAAATCTGTCAAGCATGACAATAAATTATTTCTAATCATTTATAAATGTATAACTACCCTCTTTCTGACATATTTTCTCAAATTTCTATATACAGTAAAACCTGTGTACAGTGAACACCAATGGAGACACAAAAATGTGTTCACTGTCAGTAGGTGAGCACTACAGAGAGGCAATTTTATACAGAAGTCAGTGAAAAGGGGTGTTCTTTAGACACAGGTGCTCATAAGAGAGAGATGTTCATGAAGACAGGTTAAACTGTAATCATTAATAGTAATTGACCCTATCATTGACACCTATTTAGGTTGTTTTTACTGTATCATTTATTTACTTTACTTGTTTCATGATGAGAAAACACTGAAGTTATTTATGCAAAAATGAGAACAATTTAAAAATGTGAACAATGTATTTAAAAGCATACTGATTTGTATTTTCTCACAATCTTATGACATAACGATTAGCATTTTGAGAAAGTGTCTCATGAGCTGACATCTGCTAGGAACATTTAAAAAATAAATCATGTTCTCTAGCTAACATCATTCGAAGCGATTTTTGTACATGTTTCTTATGCTGCTGGTCTTATGTATTTTAATATATTTGACGATCAAAATGAAATACCAGTAACAGAGAAAGTTTCAACTTAACTAAATGCTATAAATCGGTTGTCTATAATTCTCTTAACTATATTTCTGTTGTCTATTATTCTGTTGTCTAAAATTATATTGTCTATGATTCTGTTGTATATTTGTTGTCTATGATTCTGTTGTCTATAATTCTATTGTCTACGATTCTGTTATCTATATATGTTAACTATATACGCATGCATTCCTGTTGTCTATGATTCTGTTGTCTATAATTCTATTGTCTACGATTCTGTTATCTATATATGTTAACTATATACGCATGCATTCCTGTTGTCTATGATTCTGTTGTCTATAATTCTATTGTCTACGATTCTGTTATCTATATATGTTAACTATATATGCATGCATTCCTGTTGTCTATGATTCTGTTGTCTATAATTCTATTGTCTACGATTCTGTTATCTATATATGTTAACTATATACGCATGCATTCCTGTTGTCTATGATTCTGTTGTCTATAATGCTATCAACTATAATTCCATTGTCAACTTCCGTTTGAGTTTACGGTAAATCAAATGTATGCAGCAATGTGGCATATTGAATACAGTAGACCTATTATTGAAACTAAAATGGTAGTAAAATTATAATGAAATTACAAATTACACGTTTCGGTCTTTCAAAAACACATACAGAATGTTCACACATAGCCCCCCCCCCCCTTTGGCGCACAGGGGCTAAGACTCACAGCCATTGTTGACTGGAGAAACACAGGGGAGATTCCCAAACATAACAGTTAGTATGCTGATTTGATGAACGTGATCATACGTTCATTCATTAACAGAAAGGTAATTGGCAAGCCATTATGTATGACAACATTTCTATAATGAAATTAATTGTCTACGTACGTTTATTGTTTTGGGATTGCCACTTGTGGTAATGGTTTCCATAGTTATCAGGATAAGAGTGTTGCTGAAAAAAATATGTTCATACAGCATGAGATTTTAGATGCTGTTGCCTCCTGTTGATTTGGACCACTTTTCCACATATCTGGCAATATAGGTCTCTACTGACATGTAGCTGTAGTCCACCGTTAGTTTGAAACAGTTTATAACAATGTGAACACTGGTGCGGCTTCTCCCCTTGATGTTCCCGAGCATGCGCTGACCTATCAGCAACTTCATCGAGTCGCATGTTACATATATCGCAATATCCCGCGTGAACGATGCTATGGTGATAGTCAACACAGCGCTGACTTGGGAAGATTGATTCGCAATGTGTACATCTGTATTCTCTGTCGATTTCAACCAGAACTTGTGTTGTTGATTGTCCAGTATGTTTGTTTTTGGATTGCCGCTTGTTGTTATGGTTTCCATAGTTATCAGGATAAGACTGTTGCTGAATTTCATCCATCCATGAAGACCCTGTTAATTGAAACGAATGATTTGTGAGGGTCTATTAGATATCTTAAAACCTTGAATATAATTCATAAGACACTAATTTGAAAACAACAATCTCAACAAAATATAACAAACGCAATTCTTAAAGAAAGAAATTATTTGATTTATTTTTGTGTTATTTGATATACTATCATAAAAAGCAACACATTTATCCACAAAACAATTCTATGATTAAATGTACCCTAAAATAATAGTTGCTATCATATTCAACTAATCCTAAAATGCACCTTGGTCAACTGATTCATAACCAGGACAACAGGCTTAATAAATGAAAACAACAGGCAAAAAAAATTAATGAAAATCATAAATTTAACATGGAAAAGTTGGAAAGTCCCTTTAAACAACAGGCGATTTTGTGAAAACAATGGTTGAAAAGCGCCTGTTGCCTACTGTTAATAAAACCCCCGATAACACAACAATTCTATCATAGACTGAACTGAAATGTAACTTCATAGAATTGATATATAACCTAAAACACCAATGCCAAGTGGTAGCAAATTGAATAGAACATCTAGTCATCGTCAGACAACACTGCTTGAAACCATGTCTCAAAATGGCGACAATAGATGCATTGCCAAAAGATATTGAACACTTTTCCAGTTATACCAAAAACAGAAAATAATATAGAATGGCCACCATTTTTTGAAATGATTGCCAATTAGCTTAATTGTCATCACAGAATAATCCCAATAAATGTGTTTTATACACTGTTTAAGTCAATAATAAATAGTAATATAAGTATTTTCACATGGTTTTTAAATCTACAATAAATGTGATATCCTATGCTGTTTAAGTCCACAATAAATATGAATTCATGGTTTTAAGTCTACAATTACGCATCTTTGCTATTTAAGTCTACAATACATGTCTTTTCACATGCTGTGTTTTCATATGCTATAATAAATGTGTTTATGGTTTTTAAATCTACAATATATTATGTATTTTCATATGCTGTGTTTTTATATGCTGTTTAAGTCTACAATAAATGTGCTTTCATATGGCTTTTAAGTCTACAATAAATGTGCTTTCATATGGTTTTTAAGCCTACAATAAATGTGTTTTCATATGCTGTTTAAGTCTACAATAATTGTGTTAACAGTTTTTATATGTCTTTTCATATGCTGTTTTCATATGCTGTTTAAGTCTACAATAAATGTGTTTTCATATGCTGTTTCTTAAAGTTGAATGTGAATGTTTTAGTACATATTGGGCAAACCAGATCTCTGTTGACGTGAATCTTATATCCTGCGCTGGTGTCAAATGTCTTGTAACAGAAGCTGCAGTGGAACTTTTTGCCTTTTGTGTGTCCTTTCACATGATTGATTACTTCATCAACAGAGAGGTGATCAACTCTTGAGTTGCAAGATCCACAAAATCGGTTATGAATTAAAGTCACGTGAGGTTCCACGCAACGAACTGTCGGGAAAACTTGACTGCAAGAATCGCAGGGATAATTAGTTTGGTCCTCTACCGGCTCTGGGAGGCGACTCAGATCTAACGTTGTATCGACTGATGGGTTTGGAGCAAAGTTGGCGATTCTTTCAAAGATGGCTGCCTCATTGTATGATGCATGATGGGATAGCTGTTGTTCCTGTTGTCGCTTGTAATTATGTCTTCCACTTCCTGGAGCGAAGACGTAAACATCTCTTTATTGACTGTGTTCAACAATGTCATTTTTAAACAGCAAGTTGAAATTCCATAATTTCTGGCTATTAGCTGTCAGCCAAAAGCTGTTAACAAATGAGCAATTTCTCCATTACTGTCAACTTTTTTTGCAATTTAGACACACAAAAAATCATTCAGGTCATAAACTTAACTTGTACCTCCTATTACTTGTACATACATGTGCACTGTACTTTCTTTGTGTTGGCCAACATTCCTATGATTTTCAAAAACAAGGGGTGATAAGACAACGGACATGTATAAATTCTATTTGATTTTCTGCTTAAACATATTAGTCGCTGCCTCATTTAATAATGGCTCTGCATAGATTCCTTACTGATGACCACAGTGTTCAGTGAACTCCCAGGATTTTTTCTCAGGTGCGTGCAAAATTCTCATTTTCACAATTTGTCAAAATATGCCAATTTTTCATGATTTTTTAATTTTCAAGTGGGTGCAAATGGATTTTCAGGTGGGTGCAAGCCTGTTTTCAAAATCTCAAGTGGGTGCTGCGCCCACTTGCTTTAATGCTGGGGAGATCACTGGTGTTAAAGATATAAAAAACAAGAACATGATCTTGAAAAAGATTCCTAATTCATTAAGACTCCTGGTTTCCACCTATAAGACCATGGTCTACTTACTGGATAGCCCCAATTCTGTTCATTTCTTATTAAACATTTATATTTAGCACAATGTGTGCCTAAACACAGTGTTGCCTAAAAGTATACTTTATATTGCTCATTTTGGTTGTGAAAGAAACATATTATTTAAAAAATAGGAACATGGTTGCTGAACTGAGAATGGCATTCAGGCTAGTGTCCAGTCAACAACCATTGGTTGCTATAGCAACAAGGCAACTTTGTATTTTGAGCGCTATTGACACCATATTACCAAAGCTCAAAAACTAACTTTTAAAGGACCTAAAACCATGGAGTGAAACTTTGTTTTGCTGCAAAGATGTGCCTTAAAGTCAAAGTCAGAACTATTCGGTCAGATTCTTTTCCAGATTATACACAATGTCTTCATACCCTTCAAAATCGATAATATTGTTATATTTAAAAAATGCAAACACTGATTTTATCTTTTTATCTTAAAAATTGCAAAGACTAAAAAAATCAAATTGTAAATTTTGAGAGATACAATTTACAAATTTTATATTCACAATAGTTTAGCTTTCATGATATACTGTACTCCCACTAATATTTGACCCTATTATATTTCGCGTTTTTGGCATTTTGAAATTTAGCAGCTATTATATTTCGCTAATTTTTGTTTTTTTGAAATTTCGCGGTTATTAATTTCCGCACATTTGTCATACAGTATCACTCTTTTGACTTTGATATCGGCCATGGTTGTTCCTTCACCCATTGATATTGTCAACATTGAGATACCCGGGAATTTCCTCAAGGAATTTCGCGACTATCAAATTTAGCGAATTAAAACTGGAGAAATTTCGCGGCTATTATATTTCACGAATTTTCCAAAAGTCGCGAAAAGCGTGAAATATAGTAGCGTGCGAAAATTACCGGGAGTACAGTATTGCCAAAATTATCAGAAAAATCATGGACTGAACTTTGTCTTTTCCTTATTCTTTCTCAAGAAGGATTGTCTATGATCCCAAAGATTACAAAGGAAGATAGCTTTCCATGATGCACCACAAAATGGTCTCAGGAAGACCAAAGGAGGCTAGCCCCCATGATTCTAATTTCTGTCACAGGAGTACCAAAGGAGGTTGGCCGCTATGATTCACCACAATATTAGCACAAAAGGACCAAAGGAGGCTAGCCTCCTGTGATTCACCACAATACTGTCACAGGAGTACCAAAGGAGGTTGGCCACCATGATTCACCACAATATTGGCACAAGAGGCCCAAATGAGGCTAGCCTCGTGTGATTCACCACAATACTGTCACAGGAGGATCAGAGGTGTCTGGCTAAATTGTGTAATTTCAAACTGCTATAATAGGTGACTGTAATGTGAATTCCAACAAATCAGTAGAAAAATGGGTTCATACTATTGACCATTCACAAAGGACAGCTTTCACCAGTATGGAGCTTTCATACCAATTGGAGATAAACATATCGCCTTTAATGGGCAGATCAAAAGTTTTTAAGGTGAAATTTAGAAGGGAGTCAAAAAGTCCATCCCCAAATCCCCCTGGCTTTAAGGGCATGATAGACAGCCCACTGATGGAACATTTATATTATCACAGATAAAGGGAACCAACCTCCAATCCTCCAAGACATAGACACTATTACCCTACTTAATTTAGTGGTCATTTTAATTTGGCATGAGTAAGTTGTGACTTCATTTGTGGCTATGTGAAAATATGATCCTTGACTTAACATCGTCTTAGCAACATACTCACTCCTTACAATATCACAGTCTGATATTTATTCTTGCCAAATTCGCCAAATTAAATCTTTGTTAATTTTTCAATTTTGCCGAATTAAAAAGCGCCAAATAAAGTAGAGTACCCGTATAAAAACTAGCTTCACCCACCTTGTTGCTGATCCATGCTGCCCCCTGGTGGCTCCGAACCTGTATCTTCTATATAGATGGCGTCATCAGTATCCTCAACTTTAATCTGTTTTGTAATCGATTCTGCCTGTGCCTGGACTTCAGGTTGTTTTTTCCTCTTGCGTTGGCTCTTTGGGGTCCCTAATAATGTTACATAAATGATGCATAATATGTACTTTAATTAGACCCAAGCATGGACACAGAAGCCAAATGTAATATCAGGGTTTCAGGCTTTTTCCTCTTGCGTTGGCTCTTTGGGGTCCCTATAATGTTACATAAATGATGCATAATATGTACTTTAATTAGACCCAAGCATGGGCACAGAAGCCAAATGTAATACCAGGGTTTCAGGCTTTTTCCTTTAACGTTGGCTTGGAGGGGTCCCTATAATGTTACATAAATGATGCATAATATATGCTTTAATTAGACCCAAGCATGGACACAGAACCCAAATGTAATACCCCTCCTGAGTTTCAGGCTTATTCCTCTTATGTTTGGCTCTGAGGGATCTCTATAATGTTACAAAAATGATACATAATATGTGCTTTTATTAGATCTATGCATGGGCATGGATGCCAAATGAAATATCAGGGCCTTTCTCTTGTGTTGGCTAACTAGGGTCCCTATTATTAAGTTAAATATATAATTAATGATACATGTATAATACATAATAATATACATAATGATACATAATATGATACATAATGTGTATTGCTTTAATTAGATACTAGCTTTTTAAGACAGAGGCTTAATGTTATATACTTGACTGCCTGTGCCTGAAAAATGTAATAATATGATACATAATTGTATCCAGGGATCTCATTAACACACAAGTTATATTTATAAGCATTTCTGACTACAGGAATTATGAGAGAAAAGAACAAGCAAAATGAAGGCCCTTGACCTCCCCTCCGTCCCCCCCCCCCCCCCTTGAAGCAAGACTATATTGGAAATAACAATTTTAACATCGTATCAGTTGCAAATTGCTCGAAACAGTTAATTTTGGTAAAACAATGAATATTGCTAGAATCTATTCTCAATAGTAAGAAAGGGGGTTCGTATACAGGACTTGCCTTTTGGAACTTTGTTGGCTCTCATATTAATAACTGATTTAGGTTGGACACATTGGTTGAGAATAATATGGATTTGATTTTTCCTATTCTTTTCTCAATTGGAGATTTTTTCTCATTTTTAAGTGGGTGCAAATGGATCCTAAGTGGGTGCAATCATGACAAAATGTCACCACCTTAAGGTGCTCACAATATTATAAGTTCAATCTTAAGTCAGATTTGAATTTCTGAGAACTTGTAGATGATTTTGAAAAAATGGTCAATTGGAAGCCAGATGAAAAAATACCTTTTTGACCTTGAGAATGTCATTGAAAGTCAAATATTTTTAAATCTATAAATCTATAGTCAGATTTGAACTTTTAGATGATTTTGAAAAAAAAATTGGTCAATTTGAAGCAAGTTGAAAAATACCTTTTTGGCCTTGAAAAGGTCATTGAAGGTCAAATCTTAAATATAAGGTCAGATTTGAACTTCTGAAAACTTGAATCTTCATGATTTTGAAAAAAATTGAAGTCAGTCTAAACAGAATTTGTTAAGTTATTGGAAGTCATAAGAATTTGTTGCCGATTGTAAACCGACAACCACCAACCGCTGTCAAAAAAACGAAAGACCATAATAATATGTTACCACTTTTTGGTCAATGATGTCCTATTGTTATTGCTCATATAATATCTCACATACCATGGATATATCTTGAGAATAACTTTTGAGTAAATTATTGCCGAAATATCGGAAATAATCAACAGAACAATCAAACTCCAGAATTAAACACAATCGATTGCTCGGCTATTGAGGGGAATCCCCATTGAGTCACACAAGCGCCCACAAGTGACTTGAACTAGGGAGCCAATCAGGTTTATGATAAACAAATTCAACGACCAATCAGATAACAGGAGGACTTTCCCGGAATATTCAAAATTCAGATTGAATTAATTTCTTCAAAAATAATTAGATAGGCCAACACAATCGCAAAATTAGCACTGAAAGAGGGGGATTTGGGACTTCTTCTTTGGTAAGTAGATGTACATATGTGGTGAAACTCAATGTGCAAAAAAGTCCAGAGGGGTCTTGATTGTACTATCCTTTGGCATAGAGCCTCTTTAAACATATCAGGGTGCTAAATATGCTAATCAATCTAAATAAAGTATATATTTTATTTAGGTGGGTAGTGCTAATCTAACCTGGGGGCTGAAATGCTGATGTAAATCCCTAAAAATTGTGTAACTTGGAGAACAATTTATCTTTTTAAACGTTTAATCTTTGAATCTGATTGTAATAATTATGTACATGTACATGTACCTCAAAATTAGTAAAATTCAGAACAAACTACATTTGTATCATCAACAAACTTTGACACAAACTTGGGTAAAGACTACAGCCAAAAAAATGGGGCATAGAAGAACTCAGTTCCATATACTGATTGGAACCTTGGGGGACTTCACAAAGCCCCATTGAGAATGAATAAATGAATGAATGCTCAGGGCTCTTACTAGGCTTTTAGACCATGGGCTGGCGCAGCACCACACTCCATTTAGCTCCCACCACAACCTATTGGCGAATATTGATTGTTTCCAAAGTTTAAACTTGACTGAATAGTACAATAACGTCATTTCAAAGGGCAATATAGTGAAATATTGCCTTCGGCCCTCGATCCAATATTTAGAGGTTATGTCACTATCGTGGCATATATGCCCGAGGTCTCAGTGATATATGGCCCGACCTTGGGAGGGACATTGATCTCTGAGAACCGAGGGCATATGTGCCACGATAGTGACATAAACGATTTATAACATACCTACGATGATGTAGACTGGTCAGAGAGTACCGTTTTCTTATAGAATTGACAAACAAATGGTTTGAAAATGATTGAAATGAGTTAAGAAAAATTGCTCGCGCAGTTTTATCTTCGATTGATTGGTTATGACGTCAGCGCCTTGACCAATCAGAAAGTTAACGGGCGCAGCCTTTTCAAAACTTATATTGGCCCGCTGTCTTGTGTACACTTTGCACTATACATCATCATAGGTATGTTATAATTCACTATATTGCCCGCAGAAATGACGTTATTAGTATTATTACCACCGTTAATGACCAGGACTGAAACAGCAAGAAAATCTTATGCACTGAACGATATCTAATTTCCCGGGGAAAATTGCATTCTTGACCGGCAATATGGACCACCACTATGACGTCACATATTCCTCAAGTCGATATAGTAAAATGAATGCCTTCTAAACTAGCACTAAACCCCTAGAACTGGCCCGGCAAGGTGGTAATAATACATAATATTAGCATGTAAAAAGGATAAAATATAACTATCATTTTTTTCCATGGGGTAATGTGAGATTTTTCATTATGTGATATGTCATGTGACATGTGACTTGTTGGGGACAGCAAAACCTTCAAAACAAAATTATGTCATTTATTATTTAACCTCTTGAATACCCAGACTGACGGATATATCTGTCACAAATAAAATCCATTTGGAACCCAGAGCGACAGATATATCTGTCACAGAATTTTTCACTTAAACTGCTCTAACTTTGGCATTTTTTATCCAATCTTCACAAATTATGTTTTAGAATGTATGTAATGGGTCTATGTTTACTATTCTTATGAAATCAAATATCAAACATTGTGTTTTTAGATCTAAATATCCAGAAAACTAGCAGAAAATGAAAAATGCTCTGGTTTCAAACCCTTTTTAGAGGCTGGTATTCAAGAGGTTAAAAAGTGCACATATTATCAACAAAATTGCAAGATTTTGAAATAATTTTTGGCCAAGGGGGCCTAAAACTCCCCAACCTCCTCCTTGGCTATGGGCCTGGTGTATTAGGCTATATGGTATAAGCTTTAGAAATTGTACGACAAAACATATATAGAAATAAAGAGCAAATTAGTTATACCATAGTTTGAATCTTTTGATGTACTGTCTGACTGATAAGTTTCCTGTGAATCTGCAACGTAACCCTGGACTTGATTCATTCCTCCAATAAACTGCGTTCCACCAGACGGATCAAATGATTCAGCTGTCGCATAAGCTCCACCTGATCTCCCAGCTATAGAACCTTTGGCTGCTTGAGACATAGGCTCTGTGTACTGTTGTTGTTGTTGTTCAGTCCATTGCAGTGAAGGATCAGACTGTACTGGGGGCTCTTCAGGCTTCATTATTGTTCTATGCATTTTAACGACGATCTCTGGAGCAATCTGACTGTGCGTTATACATATTATCCCATCGATTTCTAGAGATTCATCAAACTCGACATTCTGGGTACATAGCTTAAGAACGGCATCCTGGATCAGTTGAGTAAGCACTGCTTTTCTAGCTGCCATTGTTGAAAGGTTGCAGTTAAGATATCTGGAAAAAATGTCATATGTACCATGATATTATGTTCCTAACTGGTTAGGCCAAACAAAAATATATGTCGGTTTCCTGCTCCATGTATTTTCAGATTAGGGTAGGTAGGTAGGAGGATTACTTTATTTTTCATTAAAATTTTACTCAATTTTTTTTAGGGTAGGTCACACGCGGTCCTAACTTCGACCGTTAATTTGAATTTTTGACCTACCGGATGTTTGAAAATCAAGGATTGCGACTCTCATACTGCACCGTTTTTCTTCAAACGTATTTCTGTCGGTGCATTACTTTATTGTAAAGAGTCCCTCGTTCAAGCAGCATTTTGGTCTCCAGCTGTTAGAAGGCCTTCTTACAGCTGGGGACCAAAATGCCGCTGGAAGTAGGGACTCTGTTTAAGAGAATAATAAACCATCAGAAAGGGATTTTTGTTATGCTTTGAATGGAACAAGTTTGAAGAAAAACGGTGCAGTATGAGACTCGTAATCCTTGATTTTCAAACATCCGGTATGTCAAAAATTCAAAATAACGGTCGAAGTTAGGACCGCGTGGGTCAGTCGGAAAAATATTTTATCTTATGTTTTTGTCATCTCCTGTTTTGTTATTTGCTGTTAACTACCATGAGACCTTAATTCATCATGCAGTCTACAATCATTTGATCCATTATCTTACTTAAAACCTTCAGATATTGAACTAAATAAACAACTTGGCTGTAATTAGTTTATTTAAAAATCTGTTTTTATATTTCTGGCCTATAATTTGAAGATCTAGAGTAATTGCTAGATCCCTCTGGGAGTCAATTCTGAGCCTCTTTTTTGAAGATCTAAGGCAATTGCTAGACCCCTCTAGGAGTTGATTGCGGGTCTCTATTTTGAAGAGCAAAAATGGCGAACTATTCAAGAAAATAATCAATATTTCCTGTGTTTCAAGTGTTTTGGGGGCCCTAACGATAATATTACTGTAAATGTTCCAGAGTATGAGAAATATGGACACCTGGGCCTGATGTAAGTAAAACATTTCAGAAGGAAATGTATTGTTTTGATCGAGTAGGGGCAGAGATAGAATATTTTATTATTCAGTGTACTAAAAAATGTCTTAGGGTCGGGGGTTCAAACTAGGGTCGGTCGGGGTTCCGGAAACGGCCATATATTTTTGTTTGGCCTAATAGGAGAGGGGATATTAGTAGACAATGGTTCTTTAAACATCATATCATAGTTTTGGATAATGGGGGTTTGTTTTCCTAAATACAGTACTCCGTGGCAGGTATTGAGGGGCTAGGGGCCAAAAAAATTTAGGGCCCGAAATCTGCTTCTCTCCACAAGAGTAGGTCAATTATGGTAACAAACTGATATACTGGGCATTAATTTCTAATTTTGGCCCCAAAATTTCAAAATGTTTGTCTCTCCATTCTATATTTTCAGGTACGCCACTGTGACTGGTTGTTCTCATTTTCATTTTCTTGTTCACTATTTTGTAGTTATTGTTGTTTTAAAAGGAGGTCATATTTTCTCAAAAGAAAGTAATTTTCCAAGAATTTTAACATTTGCAAGAGAGGAACGAATTGCATGAAGATTCTTTGAGAATAAGTGGGGGAAACCACCAACCAAAGAACGACTTTGCAATGTTACATGCATATAGAAAAATACATACATATGTAGAGTTATTAGCATAAATGTCATAGTTTAAAGGGTAAATGGAAATATAAACACTTCCGGTTAATATTCTGACATTTAGTTTTTGGACTTCTCTTAATTCACTAAAGTTGAGTTACTTACTCGAGTCTCTAGCCAAATTACTTGGCTAGAAGACTGGCATATGGACCATTGTGCACTAGTGAAAACGTTTATTCTGCATTTAGATTTTTTTTAGATGTTATTCTAAGAATTGTAATGAGAATATTTCATCAAATAGAATGTAAACGAATACTATCCTTTGTGAGATATTGCATGCTTTCATCTAAACTTAAAATCATTTGGTCTGCCATTTATAAAAACATCTGTTGAGGTTGATCTTTATCTTGCTTTAGCGAAAAACAAAATGGCCGTTTTTACGAAGTATCTTTTTCAAAAGATTGCTCTTAGAAAAGACTAAATAAAAGCCGATGTTGATGGTCATATGAACTAAGACTACATACTAAGTTCAATGAAGGTATGTTTATTACATTTGAGTTAATTTATAGCAACAGTCCACACAGGATAGCGTAAAAAGCAATAAAACAAACAGGGCTTGATGATAGCGTAAGGCCACACCGTGGCAGAAGAATAAGGTAAGAGTATACCATTGATAGTGCTGACTTTGCACCAATCGATGTCAGGTGTTGATACATGTTCCTGTGATTTGGCAATATCAAACAGATAAATAGAGTCCTAGACCTGTTCCAATATTGTAAAAGTATATCAGGGTTGTGATGACAAAGGATCTTGAATAAAAAATTGTACTGATGATAGACAATCATCAAAAAGAACACTCAAGGGACTTGCAAGACAGTTTTTCAAAATTCGCCATTTTGACCAATAGGATTGCAGCATTTTGTGGTAATAAGCAACAAATTTGCCACAAAGAGTGGTAATGGGCAGAACAGATAATTATAAGGTCAACAATGTAGGCCTACGCCGCTCATCTTCTCCCCGACATCTAATTTAGATGTTCTCCCGGGCGATAATAGAGGAATTTCACAATTTCCAGAAATTCAAATTGATTTATTTAATTCATCATGCCCTTTAAAACGTATCTATTGAGCCAGCAAATGACTCTTGACACGAACTCTATTTTGCATAATTATTATATCACAACATTACCTTTGATATCTGGTAAAATGAAGAAAAGTTCCGTCAAATTTCTAATGAGCTTTTGTTCCTGGCAGGTGCTTTTTCTATAGATGGCGATAGTGCAGTTTGCACCAGAATACTAAACATTTTTAATTTTGGACAAAACACACTCAGGTTCTGCCCCCCCCCCCCCCCTTATAAAAAGCTGGCTACGGGCATGGATGTCCTATTAATTTATGATCCTACTCTCCATTGATTTATATGGTGACCTATATTGTGTATACCTACTATTTCCACGCCTTACCATCGATAACGTACAGTGACAAAATATACTGTCGTACACTTTAGATGCACGGTGTCACTATTCAAACAAGTCAAAATATAGGACCACTGCCATACAAATGCTATGACTGCTCCAAAGTAGAATATTTCCCGGGAAAAAAGTTAATTATTTAAACCATGGGCTTTCATGAAAGCCCATGTTTAAACTGAAGAAGGCCCCATGCAAGAAGAAGGCGATCTTTGAGGAAAACGTACCTAAACAATCAAATTAGAATATGTGTAGGCTTAACTACTAGACCAATGCCATACCATAAGCTTAATTGTGAGATAACATATTTTCCATGACCATTCTCATGACCAGAAAGTGGAAAAATCTGACCATTGCCATACCATTGCCATACCTCAAAAGACATAATTTGGAGGCATTCTCATATTATCACATCCTAAAATTTGGGTCCATTGACAGGCAAATGTCAAAAAGGTACCCCATGTGCACCGAGGCCGGATCCCCGTCAAGGTTTATATACAGAACCTCCGGGCCTACAGTAAGGCCTGTCTTGAGCCCCTGTCTTAGTGAACACCTGCACCTCTCTCTAAAGTCAGCCAGTGGACCCCGGTATTGGACACCCTTGCTTCACACTCTACTGACTTCTGTAATAACCCCCTCTGTAGGCCTAGTGAAAACCCACCAACACTGAACGTTTTTCTCGGCTGAAATGTTCAATGCTGCTAGGTCCATGGACTTTCAAGAGTCAACGTTTCTTTCGAAACGTACTGCCATAAAATGATATGGCAGTAATGGCAGTAAGTCACTTCGAAAGAAACGTTGACTCAAGTCAGTGGCTAGGCCTTCAAGTTTTAGGCCTAAGTGTTACGTCTCAAACTAGTATTATTGTTCATTCTGATACTCATAGCATCTTTCTGTTTCATCCGAAACATGTCTCAGGGCTGAGAAGAAATGAGATGTCATGGTTTATCATGATGGTAATTGTTAGGCCTAAATAAAAATTAAAAAAACTTATTCAGCAGGTGCAGATACTAAATTTAAGGTCCATTTACTTGACATGCTTGATACTATTTGGACCTAAAAATTGGGGCCCTAAAATAAATACTGAGTTCTTAAGGCCCAACATTTTTGAACCCTTTATTCTGACCCCCCCCCCCTCCCTCCCCTAATCCACCAGTGGCAAGTCAGTGTATTTTGGAGCAGCCTTTTACAATGATATGAGATGTAGCGTATGTGTTTGTAAAATATATCATGGTAAAAACAGTAGACATCAAATATGTTTATTTTATGTTTTATTAATAATAGTAATATACCCTAGCCTACTTTAAATACATTGTATAATTCAGATGTGCAGAATAGATAAAGGACGATTCTCGGTTTGGAGAACAGTCTCCTGGGTTAATAATTTTTTTAATGACAAATATAGAAATATTACCCAAATTAAACTATGAATATTCAAAAGAGGACATTTAAATCTACAAGATGTAAAATTAACAAATTAGTCTGAAGCAGGGATAATGTTCAATTTGACCGATTCAATAAAATACAAGTCTCGATTTAGAGAAAGAAGTTCATCAGTGTACTGCGCTAATATTTTTTTGCGAAAAATCTAGAAATATTACCCAAATTAAATTATGACAATTCAAAAGAGGACATTCAAATCTATATTATGTAAACATATCAAATTTGTCCGAAGCAGGGATAATGCTCATTTAGATTGATGAACTTCGTTCTCCAAACCGAGAATCGTCCTTTATTGGAAGCTCGCACATGAATTGACAAAAGAAATAAAAATTATTATATTTCAGAAGAAAATTCGCATAGCATCTAGTCGAAAGACTTTCGGGATACGTTACATGTAACAGACTCCTTTCTCGAATTCTTCTTCAAATAGAACTTGACAAATTCCTGACGTAAAGATCTACTGGCGAGGAGCGTCACACATTGTATGGTACAATAAAGACCCAATATTGATATTGAATATATGAGATGGAACAATTGACTTTCAGTCCTTCGAAATGTTATCTGTAATATCATGTGGTACAATGCTGCGATAAGTAAGACAATAACTTCACTGGTAATTAACGTGTATTCACGAATGAGATCTTTTCTGCGCGGGTGACTGAAAGTAACCTGCTTTTGTTGATTTTGACGGAGTTCTCCCCCGGGAGTTGATTCACTAAAAGGCATAGATGGAGAAAATGGAAAAATCTCATTCTTATTCCATATTTTGACCTTGTGACACTCGACCGTGTTATTCGCATTATTAAGATTAGTCTTAATCATCCCTTGTTTGGTATTTGCATTAACACTATTTAATGTCGTCCAAATATCATTGATTGTTTCATCCAGCATTTTCGGCTCTTTATTTGAAAGTTCTTTGGTGCTTGCTTCATTATTTTTTAATTCATCTAAGTTGATGTGAATCTGGAAGGAATCAACAATGTGAGTTTGTGTATCAGCTTGAATGTTTGACGCTGTCTGACGGTCATGCGTAGGTTTACGAATTTGGAACGCATCATCTGATATGTTTGACGCTGTCTGACGGTCATGCGTAAGTTTACGAATTTGGAACGCATCATCTGATATGTTTGACGCTGCCTGACGGTCATGCGTAAGTTTACGAATTTGGAACGCATCATCTGATATGTTTGACGCTGTCTGACGGTCATGCGTAAGTTTACGAATTTGGAACGCATCATCTGATATGTTTGACGCTGCCTGACGGTCATGCGTAAGTTTACGAATTTGGAACGCATCATCTGATATGTTTGACGCCGCCTGACTGCCATGCGTATTATCAAATTTACGAATTTGGAACACATCATCTGCTCTGTTTGACGCTGTCTGACGGCCATGCGTGTTATCAAGCTGACGACCGTGGAGCGTATCAGCTCGTGTGTTTGATGCTGTCTGATGGCTAGGCATCTTATCCAGCTTACGAATTTGGAACGCATCAACTGGCGTCTGCATCCTAGACAGTTTTTGTCTGCTGTTGACATTGGGCTGAACGTGTACAATGAAACTCTTCTTCCTTAAGGACCATACCCTCTTAGAATGTACAATTACAGTGAGACCAAAACAGCATATGTCAGCTACATTGTTCACCCAAACAAGGCTATTGTGGTCTGGTATTATGACAAGTATTGCACAGTACAGACATACCATGACTGACATTACACAAATTATCCACCAGGAAATTCGTCTGTACGGATGAGTAACTTTCACCATCCTAACGATTCCAATCAAACAAAGGTATTTCATACTCAGGCTACACATCGGTAAGTATTTCCCCCATGCAAAAATCCCCGGCAAGTTGCATTCGTTAAAATCCAACGCCACAAGAATGGCTATTACGAGTTCCTTGAGTATGCCGCAAATGTGAACGAAAACCTGGATGAAGCGAAATGTATTCTCTCGGATATGTAACCTTTTTCCTCTGTATGATAGAAACAGCCAGTTTATTTGAATGTACATCGCTACGCAGCAAAATGGCACAACAGCTGCGGCTGCGGATCTGTTATAATATATACATCCATAGTTTTCGCCCTTATTATCAAGAATTGGCTTGAATGCTTCTAAATTGTTTTTAATACTTGTAAAAGCAATTTCCTTAATAACACGTTTAGTCATTTCGTTTCAAGGAAGCAGATTTTCTTCGAAGTTCCCGGTTTAAATTTTTGAAAACAATATTCTTACAGAACAGATCTGATATACGTTCTGAAAAATGCTGTGGATGCCCGGGTGTGGATGTAACTTGCGTCAATGATATGTTGTTTTATCAATGATAAGTATATATATATATGAGATTACATATATACATAAGTAAACGAATATGTAAGCGAACGCATCAGTGTGTGGTGCCCACGTGGTATTATTGATGCGCTAACTTTGCATGCTTTAAGTTGGCCGTTTAGTGAATAATTAGGCTTTGACATTCACCCTCGGAGGTTTTACCCTCAGATTGTTCAACCCCTAGACTTTTTATATTCAGCAGTAATTTTTTACACATATCTAATACCGAGTAGCCTATATCTATTGCGCTGGACGTCCTTATGGATATATCAAAGCATTGCTAAATCCACTCGATTCCGCTGGTTACCGAAACGGTTTGTTTCGTTAACAAAATGTCGGATCGTCGAAGGTACGATATGATATTTCTTTTTCCTTATTTCACACGTTGTAGGCAGAATTCCCACGACATTTTTATAACAAACGTGTATCAGTATCATATGTTTAAGAAAACTGTACATGTTTTCATGTACATGTATACCTGAAATATCTAGGGGTGGAATGTCTAGGGCTAAAGCGTCTAAGGTGTAAAATGTCTGAGGCGTGAAGGGGATGAATTGTCTAAGGAGTGAACAGTCTGGGTGAAAAATCTTGATTCCCCAGTGCTGTCTGTCTGTCCGTCTGTCTCAGGAGTGTTTCTTTATAAAGTTTTCAACTTTCCCATAAGTGGCGTCTCAAAGCTCTCCCGTCTCAAAATGGCAGCCATTATCATTGTTGAAAAGGTATCAGCTTTTTCAGTCATAATTCCACTTGAAATCGTACAGGAACCTTATCTTAAAGACCAGCAATAAGATCTTCACGTTTTGGCAAAACATAATGCAAAGAATGTCTATCACTTAAAGTATCCTGAAAATCATGTTTCAGCTTTTTTTGGTGACAAGTTCTAGTATTCTACTCTTGACGGCTAGTTTGAAAAAATTGAGACAAATGAAAAAACGAATTAAAAAAATTGAATAAATAATTTGAAAAATGTAAAAAAATGAAAAAAATGAAAATAAAAATTTGAAAAATCATTTTGCAGAATTAATAAAGAATAATGATGAATGAATGAATCAATAATGAAACCATCAAATATCACTTTTAGGAAGTGATAATTCGATGGTTTGGGGATTTTTGCAAAAATATGAAATTTTAATCTTGATACCAAATATATCTTCACGTGATAAACTGTAAACCTTGAAAGTGCTAAATTGACCTCGACTTTCGGTCTCGGTCAACAGTACTTTCAAGGTTTACAGAATCGGTATAAAATTGTGTCAGTTGACCTCAAGAGAGGTCTACAATTGCAAACTAGGCCTAGTGCCTTATCTTAAATGGTAACAAAAGCCTTATGTCTACAAGTTCCAACAAAATTTGTGGCCGTAAAAATTCAAAATGCCCGCCACTTTTATGGCTGAAATATCAGTTTTTATGTTGTAGATCCAAAATTTTGTTTGAAATTGTAGAGTATTGTATTGATGTGGGTATTGGTAAACAATACTGTCTCGAAGTTTGGGCAAAATATTTCGTAAAATTGCCACCACTTTTACAAAAAAACTATGTTCTTTGGCCTATCTAGACTATCAATTTTTGAAAGTAGACCTAATATATGTAGATTGTACATGCATTTGAAAGGCTACTACTTTTCAAACTACCCTTTGCATTCGTTCGACTTCACTTCTTAAAAGTGAGCTACGTCTTCGTCGGTAGTTTATAACTAGACTCTGCGTGCAGGGTATTTTCAATCCCTAGTCTTAACCACCCTTGGTATACGCAGCTAACGAAAATTGACCGGTACGGGTCAAAAGCTGGAACGGTACGGGTTAACGGTTTTATTTGAATTTAAAATAGCCATAACTTGCTCAATATTGACTTCCTCGTGTCTAATTTGAAATATATGATGCCTCCCGATGCTTTTGAGTACCCCAATTTTTTACAGATTTTTAAAGATGTTAATTTAAGAGCAAAAAAGGCTCCAAAACTTAATGAAATATGTAGTTTGGATGTTCATTTATGTCTGTGGATTATATTTTATACCACAAACACTTTATAAATACCTGAAATTTCCAATAAAAGTGCCCAAAAATTGTTGTTTCGAAATTCCCATTTTTCCTGTATCGCGCTAGTCACGTGACCATTACGCGTAGCAGGCAATGTACAGATATTACAGTACATATAATATGTTCAATATGGCAAACATCAGCGATTCTGATTCCCGGTTCTGGGAAATGGCTATATAAATCGGCGAGAGGGTGTAATTTGAATGAAGACAATTTATGGAGGGGAAATGTGTGCAAGTATGGCAGTAAGAGAGCAGATATGGGGACTTTAGACAAGAACTATGACGGATAATCAACTAAAAATGTGAGTTCTGGAATGAAGACCCGTTGCCATTGACTGAAGATTCCAAACTTTGTGACAAAGAATTTCATCAGCTATTGCCCCGAACCGGTCCGTCTTCTCGCTGCAAGCAGATTGCCCCGAACCGGTCCGTCTTCTCGCTGCAAGCAGGAGGAAATTCTTTGTCACAAAGTTTGGCATTTTTTATAAAATCAAACGCGCGTCATTCAAACTCACAAGATGTAAATAGCATGTCATTACATCATACCTTTATGGGGAAAAATAGATCGTATATGTTAGAAGTACTAAATAAAAGTTATCGTGAAAAATGAGACAGTCGCTCTCGAGAGAAAAGAGCATAAATGCGCATTTAGAGAGTTTTGGTCCGTTTAAAAATCTGTAAAAAATTGGGGTACTCAAAAGCATCGGGAGGCATCATATATTTCAAATAAGACACGAGGAAGTCAATATTGAGTAAGTTATGGCTGTTTTAAATTCAAATAAAACCGTTAACCCGTACCGGTCCAGCTTTTGACCCGTACCGGTCAATTTTCGTTAGCTGCGTATACCAAGGGTGAAACGTGGCTTTCAGATGTTCAGCAGCGGTTTACCACGTGATTTCTAAGCCCTACGTGAGGATCCCACGTGAAATCCACGTGGATCCTCCCGTCAAGGATGCATACTCATGATACTATTTAAGTATATATATAAATTGATGTGCTAATTGCTTCAAATTGGCCCATTTTATCTTGTTTTGATAAATAGATGCCTCACTTATGCATCATGCGTCACATCTCGTTTGTGATCTATTATCGCTAAGCACTGGGGACATCACATCCGGGACAGCCCGATTTTCGTTTCCTTAAGAGTCGAGATGGCCCAATTTAAATCCTCAAATATTTCTTGTTGCGGAATAGAACTGCTTATATCCCGGATGCGCTATGGTTCCCAACATTCCCCCGTGCATGTAGTAGTAGGTGCGCTGATCGCATGGTTTGTTTGTTATTGGTCCACTGACGTCAGTGATGAAATGAAATTCAAATTCGTCTGTAGTCATATTCATTATATACAGGGTGTCTCAAAAAAGGAAACTGAGATCAAATGGCTAATTTCGCAAATTCGATTCTGATGGGGCCATAGCTATAGGTGAAGATGAACGTTTGAAAGTCCCGTTCATCTGTCAGCTGCAGGTCAAAGGTCACTATAAATTAGAAAGCTCCGTGTCTCTGATGGGGACACAGGTGAAGATGAACGTGCAAAGGTTCCGTTAATCCATTCTCGGTCAATAAAATATAAATTCCATGTCACTGATGGGGTCATAGGTGAGAATGAACGTTTAGTGTTTCCATTTATCCAGCAGGTCAAAGGTCAAAGTCAGGGTCAAAGTAAATTAAACATGACTATTTTTATTGCAATTAATTAATGTTCATTTTTAATATCTCAATGTATTTGAAGATTTGTTGTACAATTATTCCAATCAGCTCTTCATATATAACACCACTTTATAACATACCAACAACATTGAAATAAAGTATATATGAAGTACAATAAATATAACTAGATTTGTAAATTGAACAAAGTTCAATTTAAGACTCCAGATTGATTTACTTGAGTAAAGAGCTGAGTAAGTAACTGAGTAGGAAGCTGAGTAGGTAGATGATTAAGTAATTGAGTAAGTAGCTGAGTAGGTAGCTGAGTAAGTAGCTGAGTAGGTAGCCGAGTAAGTAGCTGAGAAGTAGGTAGCTAAGTAGGTAGCCAAGTAGGTATGTAGGTAGGTAGGTAAGTAGGAATTTTTGACCCAAAGTCGGATTGAAATTTGGTTTGCAGATTCGGACTCCTTGGAAAATTTTACCTTTAATTCATAACTCATAAGGGACATTTTGAGAATTTTTTATTTTGACCTACTTTTAGGACACCATATCTCAAAAGTGGGTCAAAATACTTCCTGACGGCAAAATGCTAACACTATTAGCACACTCTTTGCTACCTGTATACAAAATTTCGAAGCAAATCATTAAAGTGTAATGTCAGAATCGCAAAAATAAGGTAAAACTATGAATTTGACCTAGATATTGACCTAGGCATTTTTGGTGTCCAAATTTTAAAGCTAGATAGCTTTCGAGGTCCCCTTCTTTTATAGGCTTTCAGAATGTTAAGCTGAACTCAGTCTATATCTGGTATTTTACACTTCAAAAAATCTTTTTACTCATTGACATAACATAGGGCACCAAATTTAGTGATTTTTGAGCTTTCAAAAGGCCATAACTTCTGAACCGAGAGTCGGATTGAAATGTGGTTTACAGATTCAGATTCCTGACAAAATTCTACACCTAATTCATAATTCATACATTGAATTTGGAGAACGTTTTGTTTTGACCTACTGTACTTTCCAGACGCCATATTTCAAAATCAGTAAGAGTAATCAAAAAACGGATGGCACATTTATAAAAGGGCTGTTTATAAGCTACATGATGAAAAAAAGATGAAGATGTTTCGATAAATAACGACAAAGATAATTGATAGAATATTGAAAATGTAAGATTTGACCCAGTTCTAGGATAGGATAGGATATAGAATAGGAAGGAAGGATAGGATAGGAAGGAAAGGATAGAAAGGAAGGATATGATCAGACAGGATATGAAGGAAGGATGGATGATTTTTTCTATATTTTCTTTGCTACTCTTGACTTTCTATCAGGATATCATCAGATCGACTTTTCTCAAAATTTTCAAAACGCCATAACTTTCGAACCGAAAGTCGGATCGGAATTTGGTTTGCAGATTCAGATTCCTGAGAAAATTCTTCACTTCATAGCTCATATGTTAAATTTGGTTTACTTTTTAGTTTGACCTACTTTCCGGTTGCCATATCTCAAATTCGGTAGACGTAATCAAAAAACCGATCACACACAGTCGAATCGTCTTTTTATTAGCTACTCGTTAAAAAAAAATTTTGAAAAAATATTGAAAAATGACAAAGATAATTGACAAAATGATAATTTGACCTAGATTTTGACCTTTGACCTAGATACAAATTTGACCTAATTTCCCAGAAACTAGGTCACATACCATTACTGACCATGTAAGTAGATTTAAGTAAGCTCTTCTAGTTGCTGAGAAAACGTGACAAGAGAGAATAATAAGAAAACTCAATCTGGAGTCTAATAATAACAAAGGGCAATCTAGTGAAATATTGCCATGATTGATGATTGAACACTTATAATCATAAAATTGAAGTTGAAAAATAACTTTTTTGACCCACAATATGTTGCCATGGTAACAAGTATTGGAAGAATTATATTGGCTTACACATGACATGTTTATATATGTTGACAGTAAAAATTTGAATTCAGTTAGATATATTATTGGAAGTTGCCAACCGCTAAACGATAAACATCAATCACCAAACACCAACCGCTGAACACCATTGACAAACGGTTGAAGGCTATAGCAATATGTCAAGACTTGGTGTTGACATAAATAATATAATATTATTAATTATAAAGCTTCTATCAGTACACCTGTATATACATGTACTTTTATGTGAGCTCTGGCATCTTACGTTTTTTGCTATCTGGGGTTCTACATTTTTTCATTTTACATAATTTCAAATAATTTATTGAAATAGTACGGTTACATAAATCATTAATTCAGAATAATACAGTAAATTACATAAAATTGCAGCCTTGCACAAATTCTGTATTATGACAACGTTATGAGACCTGCTATCGGGGTATGAGTACATATTATAATAATATTATTATTACTCGTTTAATAGGCTTATATTTTACTTTATTGACAAGCCATAGTAGTGCCGTGCTGAAGTGGTCATTATCGTTTCACTCTACCTGTGATAAGGCAGCCATTTTGAATTTTCAGAGGCCCGAATCAGAAAAAGATACAATGTTTGCAATCTACTCTAAATTGCTTCAAATTCTAAAACAGTATTTCATTTCACAATCTCCTTACAACCCTGTTTTTGATCTTCAGTTGATTTTGTTCTAATCACTTTTGTTAACAAATGATTACAGAACCATAAAATGTTTGAACATACACCATGTTGATCGTTGCCTACTTCACAGAGGTACATGTATAAAACATCCTCATTTAAAAAAACATAATACACTCAGAGACAACTCTGTTTTTTGGTAGTCATAATCAATCTGTTCCTTATAAATATTTGTTCTGTGGTATATTATAGTAACAATGTTTTATGATACTCATTATCAAAGTCTTATAAATATTTGTTCTATCATATTATAGTAACAATGTTTTATGATACTCATTATCAAAGTCTTATAAATATTTGTTCTATCATATTATGGTAACAATGTTTTTTGATACTCATTATCAAAGTCTTATAAATATTTGTTCTCTGCCATATTATGGTAACAATGTTTTTTGATACTCATTATCAAAGTCTTATAAATATTTGTTCTATCATATTATGGTAACAATGTATTTTGATACTCATTATCAAAGTCTTATTAATAATTGTTCTGTGCCATATTATGGTAACAATGTTATTTGATACTCATTATCAAAGTGTTTCTTAAAAATATTTGTTCTGTGCCATATTATGGTAACAATGTTATTTGATACTCATAATCAAAGATCTTAATAAATATTTGTTCTGTATTATTTACTTCAGATTCTCAATACACTGTACACATAATATCTGAAGATGCATATTGATGAAACAGACATTAGAGATTACATGTAGACATAAGAAACACATATAAATAATGTGACTACAATCTACAGGGTGTGTAATTTTAGATAAAATTGGGTGGATAACTTGCATATCGGACACTCTGTAATATGGTGCTAATTAAAATGTTGCTTTGGTATATATACAGAGTATACGTTTAAATCTAGTTCAGTTTCATTAATTATACAAATCGGACACCCAGTAATGTGGTGCAGATTCCAATTTCTTTGAGTGTATAAAGTTTAGTGTCTTGTCCAGTTGCATTAAATATGCATATGAGCCACCCTGTAATTTGGCACAAGTCATCAAATGTTTTCCTATTTCTTAGCAGGTATAAGTTTAGAGTCCGGTTGTTTTCCTATTTCTTAGCAGGTATAAGTTTAGAGTCCAGTTGTTTTCCTATTTCTTAGCAGGTATAAGTTAAGAGTCCGGTTGTTTTCCTATTTCTTAGCAGGTATAAGTAAAGAGTCCAGTTGTTTTCCTATTTCTTAGCAGGTATAAGTTAAGAGTCTGGTTGTTTTTCTATTTCTTAGCAGGTATAAGTTAAGAGTCTGGTTGTTTTCCTATTTCTTAGCAGGTATAAGTTTAGAGTCCAGTTGTTTTCCTATTTCTTAGCAGGTATAAGTTAAGAGTTCGGTTGTTTTCCTATTTCTTAGCAGGTATAAGTTTAGAGTCCAGTTGTTTTCCTATTTCTTAGCAGGTATAAGTTAAGAGTTCGGTTGTTTTCCTATTTCTTAGCAGGTATAAGTTAAGAGTCCGGTTGTTTTCCTATTTCTTAGCAGGTATAAGTTTAGAGTCTGGTTCAATGTTAATAAGACAGTCTTGGTCTGGCACACTTGAACAAGCAGTGACCCTTGTATCACTATCTGATTCTCCACGGGCAGTCACATGATAATCTGATAACGATTTCTTCACTCCCGGAGGTGATTGTTTATAGCGAGTAGCAACTTCTTCCAAAGTTGGAGAAATAGTCGAAGGGCGTTCACTACTTGAGCTTCTCACGCTACTAACAGAAATATCACGTTTTCTCTTTATTCGAGGACTATTTGAGCTGGATTTAGGCAGATTTGCTGGTTTAGTGGATTGTGCGCTAGGACGTTTAAGTATAGTGCCTGATTTAGATGCATTTGGAACAAGCGGTTTTGTTTCTTCAGCAGTTTCGACATCTGATTCTGATCGACCAGATCCATGACGATGAAATGTAGTCATAGATATAGCTTCATCGTCACGCTCTTTTTCTTTTTTCCCACCACTCGCCCCGGTTCCTCCATCCATTGGCTGAAATAGTTGTAAAAGTGGCATTTTCTCAGGGTCAAATTCTCTGCTCGTTGGAGAAATCTCCGGTTCTTGTTTGGACTCAACTTGTTTAGATGGTTTATCAATTTTCTTAACTGTATTCTGTGTAGTCTCACTAAATCCTATGCTATCTCTATCAGGGCTCTCTCTCAAAGAAAACGAAACTTTGTGACTGGCTTGGCTCGATGAAACACTAGTCTGGGAACCGTATCGTGATCCATGACGTGAAAGCGATGTAAGTGATTGCATTGAATTTGCAAGTGAGCTTCTACTTGGGGGTTCAGGTAGTGTAGGTACTTGTTCCACCATTTTGTAGGCTGTTCCATCGTACTCCCTATTATTTGGTATTTCTATGATGCTCTCCTGTGATCCCCCGGATGATTCATTTTCCTGCTCATCTGGATCTTGGCAGCACGACATGACAGCACGAAGAATCTCTCGTTCTCGGATAATTTCTCCGAGGATGCTATCCTGACGCTTCATCCCACGATCTCCCGAAGGAGTGGTTGCCTTTCCTTTAACTGCCACTTCAGGGATTTTCGACAAATAGTCTTTCAGAGCATTCTCATAGCGCTTTTTCTCGTCTGTTCCTAATTGGCTAAAATCACGTCCTGGTTCAACTTGATCGGAATTTTCTACGATGGACGACGCATTAGAATCTAAGTGAACACGATGTCTGTGTAATAAAGGGCTGGAGTTTGAAGAAGTCTCGCCAGGGATATTGCTTGTTGTATCACTTTGAACTAGGCTAATCTGGGATTCAGACCCATCTCGTTCAAGATGCGTGGCGCCCTCTGTCTCCACTAGCTCCTCCTGGTGACGCAAATGTACAACAGCAGCTTTAAACAATTGCCAGTCGCCAAACGTCATCTTCAGCTCAGGTTTTAATTCATCTAAGTCACATGTTGATAGTACCATGCCATTTATATTGTTGGCTAACAACTTATCTTGGTACTTTGACGTCATCCTCTTGTCCATGCCTTCGATATTTTCTGGTAGTGTGCTCACTTGTTTTACATCTAAGGAACTTAGTTGTTGTTTGGGGAGTGAGCCCTAAAAAGGAAAAAAATAATAGCGGAATTGGAGTAAAATATGTTAATAGTATAGAATAAGTAAACTTACTGTAGTAACCTCAAGTCAAGTAATATGTTACAAAGGAATATTTTGTGACTTGTCTGCTACTGCATCTATAAAATTTCAAGATGAACAGCTACAGTAGGTAGTTTCCTTGGAACTTTAAAAACAAAATTTATGTGTCGCCCACTTAGCACATCCATCTACATAACCAGGCCCGTAGCCAGGATTTGCCAGGGGGGATTCGTGGAATACTAGTATCACTTGTGAATAGCCAATAAAACTTTAAAAAAATTGTGCATACCTTGAGTTTAGGTGCAGGCTTCATAACGGGAACTGACTGAGTTGCGACAGGGAACCCATAGGGGGCAGCACCATACGAAGCCACACCAGGGGCGTATGGAGCAGCAGCAGGCTGGTACATCGGCTGCGTTTGAGGAACTACGTATGGATATGATTGTGAAGTACCAGCAACACGTCCCCTGGAAGGTGAACAAAAACAAATACTGTAAAGAACTGTAATTTAGCCCGCTTTATTTGATTTTGGTCTTTCATTATTTTCTCATCGTTTTTTTTAAAACCTTTAGAAATATTTTTCCCCTTGTCACTTTCTTTTCTGTAATTATGGACTTTTAAATATTCTTCAAATGCAGAATGGTTCTGAGTCTAATTTTGAAGATTTCAAATAGATCTAATGGTGAAAAAAATCATTATCCTTGGGACTTTTATAGGAGGATTAAACACATTGTTTTCATAAGCTAAAGACAAAGTTGGTCAGAAGTACTATTGGTCAAAGATATGAATATTTTTTGCCAAAACCACATTGCATATGTAAAAATTATCTTGCATAATGTAAAAAATACCTTGCATAATTACCTTGCATATGGTTCATTGGCAGTTAATGGCTGAGATGTATTTAACCAAGACTGGTTCTGCTTGTCACCACTAAGATTCCTGTGCCTGACCCCTGGGGCCTGGGGGGACGTTATTGACCCATACTGGTCGACCATTAGGTTATCGGCCATCTTGAGTTGTTCTGAATGTAAATGTTATAGGATCTAAGTTAGATATTCTAAGTAAAAATGTTTTAAAGGTTTAAACTTGAAAGATTAATTTATAGTTTTTCACAATGTATACAAATCATAACTATAAAACTTCAATGATATAATATTTTTTATCAAGATAAGCATGAATTTGAAAATCAAAAGACATATTAATGTCGCTCATTGTCATGTTTCTTACTATTATAATGATTCCCATTGGGCATCAAGACATTCAAATTGTGAAATGTGCACATTTTCATAACTTCTCTACTTAGTGACTATACTAGAAATCTGTGACCAACAGAGAAATAATTTGATAACAAGGCAATAACACACAAAAAGTCACCACCTGCCATTTTTTACAGATGCTGAACGCCACCCAACAACCACCCAACACCATTCATAAAGAAAGTTGAAGACTACAACAATATGTCATTAAAGTAACTTTCTATCATTTCATCTAAAAATTAAAACCCTTGGAAATACTAAATATGGTTTGAGTGCCATATATAAAAATTTATTTTAGAAATATTGTGGATCAAAATAAAAAAAAAAAATAAAGAATAAAAACATATTCCACCCTTGGGATTTGAACCCAGATCTCTTGGAATAAAATTCTGGTAGAGCCCAAAGCTCTAACCACTACACCAAAGTGCCAGAGCTTTCTGAGGGAAGAAATTCTTTATGTATATAATTATGGACTAAAAAAGTCTTATTTACATGCTTAAATTTCTTAAAAATGATCAGCATTACTACTAATAATAACATTTTGCATGTCTGAGTAAGTATTTTGATGTACATTTAGGATAAATGTTGTTTTATTCAGTTTTCATTTTGGGTATGACTTCCTGTCAAAACAGTGTTAAAAATGCAGGGCTCTACAAAAATTTTCAATTAGAAAATGATATATATCCTTTGATCAGCTGTTTTTGGCACCTGAACTCATCCTACTAGAAAGGTAAGAGCATTTTCTTGAGACATATGGCTCGAAATCTCAAATTTCTCCTTCTAAGTTTTAGAAAGACACTTTAATTGTAGTCGTGACATAATAATTTGATTATAATTACCTCTTATATGTTTTCTTAGATAAGGGTCCAGATTAATTGTCGAGGAGAGGAATTTCTTGACATCCCCAGCATTGAGTAACGGAGAACTACTCGCAAGAACTACTTCCAGCTTACGAGAATTACGATCAATCTCGATTAGAGGCTCTAACTCTTTGGATAGGGGGACTTTTCCTTTAATCCTGGAAACAAATAAAAATGTTATTTAAGAGTAATAGTGTAGTGATAAAGTTCTTTGGAAATGTGGACCATTAAAACATTATCATTTTGAAAATATGAATTGTAATCCAATTTTGTTAATAATTGCCTAAATGGATTTTATTTGCACCTACACAAAGTTGTGTATCACATAGCATGAGAACTTTATATTCATAAAATACATGAAAACTATAAACGAAAATGATCAATTAAAATGAGAATAAAAAAATTGTAAAATAAAAAAACATAAAAATACATGTAAACAACACACCTGAACTCATTAAATATAAAAATTATTTCCATACTTCATAATTCCGAACTTATTTAATTTAAATATGAAACATACTTGTCATATATTGATTTTAGTGACGTCGTGTCATCAACATTCTCCGTCTCTTCTAGGTACCATAACATCCAGGACGTCCTGTAAGGCCATTGTTCTGTCACATTAAGCCAGGCAGCTAGCCTCGTCCAGCTGAAGTCAATGTTGTATGCTCGCAACAAACGCCCTAGAACAGTATTTTTGTGCATGCATTGTAATATGCTGTATTGTATTTATTTCACTTTATTGTATTGTATCATAATCCATTGTATTGCATTGTATTGCTGTATTGTATTACATGCATAGCAATGCATTAAATTGTATTGTGCTGCCAGGGATGAATTATGACTCCCTTCTCAAAACATCTTATGTAGGAAGATAAGTAAAACTATTTTCCTTACACATGTACCTTCAAACTCAATCAGGCAATAATTCATCCTTCAAGATTAGGCTTCACTGCTATACAGCAGCTATGAAATAACCCTGGAAATACCCCTGGACCAAGGATGGCATCAATTTTACAATTTCATATTAACATTCTTAAAGCAGCGCTATCTAAACTTTCTTAATTTTTCACCTGTTACTGCAACAAGATTCATCAGACGTCTCATGCTCCTGGGGTTAACATCGCTGAAGTAATCACTCTTCACTAGTGCCTTAGAGAGGTCAAAGGTAGATGGCTGTCGGCTCAATCCAGGGCTTTTATTCTTACGTCTCCGACCAGCCTCATGTATCGAGGAGTTAGAGTGAGAGAAGACAGAGTCCTGGTGTTGAAATGCAGAATTTTGTCTCTGGAATGACAAAAATGGTCATTTTCTATGTAAAAGTCAAAAGAAAAGAAACGAAAAAGTACATGACCTTGACATGCTTTCTTGGTTAAAATGCCGTGCAAAATTCTTAAACTTAAACATTTCTTACATTTATTATGGACTATTTTGAGGTAATGCAAATAAGGCATTTGTAATTCTTGTGTTTTGAATGAGGAATTTTGAATGTTGATAAAGAAAGCAAAGAAAGAGAAAAATTTTGTGACAGGAATAATTGTCACTTTCAGTATTCACAAACTTAAAATCTAACTTACAGATGCTTTCGGAGAATAGCTCTCTGTATGGTTGATATCAGTTCCCGAGCGAATAGATTTGACGCTGAATGTCCGCTTGCGTCGCTCTGTGAACCAGGTGGGGAGGGGTTGGTTTTGCAGATAGAATGGCAGGTGAACCACATTGTTGAGGTAATCATGTCCATTGATATTTGAATCGTGAAATAATCTAGAATACACCAATGAATGTACAAAATATATATATGTAAATTGTGTCTCTTCCTTTTCCCTACGAGAAAATAAGAGGAAAATAATGACCTGTTGACAGATAAGAGCGATTTTTAGGAAAAAAACTGCAAAATACCTATACCCCGGGACCTATGCTTTAAATTTTATCATTGAAATACAATTTGTAATAAGAATGAACACATTTCAACAACTTGTCATTTTGGTGTAAAAATACTGAATAGAACTGGAGATATCATCCAATCATTTCTATGATGTATATAAATAAAAATAATGGTGCAAAAAAGAGCCCATTGTCCTGAAAGGTATAACATAATAGGGCTCCATATGAAGCCTTATCGTCGTGAAAGGGTTAATTCAAACTATATTGTGACCAACTTCAAAAAATTCAGATGAGTAGGAGTTCAAAGTTCAAAGTTTCTTTAACATGGGAGTGGATGGGACATTTGAAAATTGAAACTGAAAAAAGTGTTCATATTGAGAGATGGTCTGACTATAGAGGTGTTCAGATATACACTGAACATCAAGAGGGGGAGAAACCCCAGGGTTCAAAGATGACATACGCTTATAATGTAAATCTGTATTGAGATGACATCGTCGCTGATTGGTTTAGCGAGTTGATCGTTGATTGGTTAAAACGAGGTCAATTTGAAAACTTTGAAAACCAAGATGGAGGGTACATTTTCGACAAAAGGAGGTGCGCGAAGGAGGAAATCGTATGTCATCAATTGAATCATGGGGTTTTCCCTCCTCTTCTGTACATCTTTGTGTACTGGTTTTACTGTATCAACCTACCTGTGAAGATTGTGCTCTATTCCCTTGATGACAATATGAGGATCAACAGTGAGTATGGTGACAAACGGTGAGTCAGGTTCAGAGAACAATGCATGAACCGTGTCTAGAACATTGAGTACTTTCTCTTGCTCGCAGCTATCAAGTCCATCTACTATTACAACCAATCGTGTGTGACTACCTGAAATACAGGAATACAATACTCATTTTGGTCTGAATTGTGAAAATGTGAATACCAATTTTGGTCTGAATTGTGAAAATGTGAATACCAATTTTGGTCTGAATTGTGAAAATGTGAATACCAATTTTGGTCTGAATTGTGAAAATGTGAATACCAATTTTGGTCTGAATTGTGAAAATGTGAATACCAATTTTGGTCTGAATTGTGAAAATGTGAATACCAATTTTGGTCTGAATTGTGAAAATGTGAATATTGCACCCTCCTGAGGATATCACTGCAGGTTACACAGTGTATATATACTTACTCAGTTGAGTAGTAAGTTGTTGAAGTTTTTGGGTCAAAAGGGCTTCAACCTTAATTATGAACTTAAGTTTGTTCGAATTAAATCACACAAATTGAGCATGAAAATATTATATACCAGTCTTAGGTAATAGTCTTAGGTACTTAAGAAGGCATCCATGTGTTTCACCATTTTTGCCAAAGTTGTTCCACTAACAAAGGTTATACTCATACTGTATATACTTCCTCGGTTAGGGGGTGTGTTGGGGTTCTGAGGTCACAAGGGCTTCAATGGCTCGTAATTAAGACTGTTCATATCAAATCACACAAATTGAGCATGAAAATATTACATACCTGAGAAGGCATCCATGTGCTTCACCATTTTTGCCATCAGTTCAACTTCAGCCTTAAGTGTTTGTAGGAATCCTTCACTTTTCAAACTTTCAAACTGTTCTGAGGCAGCAATTACTCGCTTTTTCTGAGGTCTGAAAGTTATCATTTTTGAAATCATTTCATATTTATTTATATCACAGGGGTTTCATTAGCAGCAGGCAAAAGGTGATTTTCACTGGTTGTTTTCACAAAATCGCCTTTCAGGGAATTTTAAATTTTTCCATGTTAAATTCATGATTTCCATTAATTTTGCCTGTTGTTTTCATTTAAAGCCTGTTGTGGGAAATTCTAGTGAAACCCCTGTAATGTATTACAATAATTATGACATGGTAACTACATAAACAAAAGGTGTTAAACAAATCACTATTTTTTTAGGTCTGCAAGTTATCATTTTCGAGAAAATTTCATATTATATATCTAAATTACAATAATTATGACATGGTTACTACATAAACAAAAGGTATTAAACAAATCACTCATTTTTTCTGAGGTCTAAGAGAAAACATGATATGGGAAGTCCATAAATTAAATGAATTGAACAAAAGCTTTGGCCTATACATAGTAATATCCTAATATTTTGAATGCTATACAAAGAAAACAAAGACTAGAAAGGTAGGTGAGTTGTGTATAAAAATGACATCCTCCTGGTCTGGAATGTATATCAAATTTATTCATAGGGAAGATATCATCATCCTTAAGGATAAACTTAATCTATAATACTGACTTGGGGGATGTATTTTTTAGACAATTGAGGCAAACACTAGACAAAAGGCTGACAATTATACCCACAGAAATCTTAAGATATTTTAAAGGTCCTCTCACCTGGCAAGTGAAACTACAATGTGTTTCCAAAGGAAAATATTGGCAATGAGACTCAGGCCGACAATCACTCCTATAGAGATGAGAATAGCATAGACAGCAGGGTTGTTAATCTCTTGGTATGATGTCACAATGTTGTCACCAAGGTCACCATCTGTTGCAGTATTGTTGCTTGTTACCGTGTGCATTTTTCCAGGTCCTGTAACATGATAATAAAAAATAATGCACTGTGCTTTAATAGCAAAATACTGCGCCTATCAAATGCCAACTTAGAAATTTGCATGTTTTTCACCCATTCACAACCTCATCAAATACAAATTGATTAAAGCAAGTGGGCGCAGCAACCACCTGAAATTTTGAAAATAGGCTTGCACCCACCTGAAAACCCATTTGCACCCACTTGTACATGAAAAAAATCATGAAAAATTGGCATATTTTGAGAATTTTGCACCCACTTAAGAAAAAATCCTGGTTAAATCACTGAAGTCCCAACAAAAACTTTAAAATATTCTCTATTGTCTAACTCATTATTCACTTGTCCTTTATTTCTTCCACGCTCATCAAGTTTCTTTAACTGTTTTATGATGAATAGATAGTCTATTAATTAAAAATAGTTATATAAAAAACAAAGTGATAATATATTCTAGGACTTTTTTTATCAAAAATTTCAAAATGGCTACAATAATTTACCCAGCTATGTGGCACCTACCCACCCTGAGCAGAACAAGGTAACAACAATATTGTACTGCAGTTTGAAAAAGTGATAACAAAAGAAACCTACCAATATTATCAACGCCAAAAACGACGAGAAGCACGATACCAGCAATAAGGCAGCAGAGAATCAAGATGACAATGACAAACAATGGAACGCAGCAGATTGATTTGTATTTGCCACAAGTACCACCTGAAAAAATAATATTATTCACTTAATAAATCAGTCTCCATGGCGTTAGACTAACCGGGTGATGCACCCTGTCATGCAGGACCATAGCACCCTGTTAAACATCTGTCAAACCCAGTCAAAAGGGGAGATACAAATCATATGATTAGATACAAATCATGATTCGATGGCGATTTTTATTAATGAAAGTCTTTTTCTTAGATTCAGTAATACAGCAATTATAGTGGATTGAGATTTTTGTCATAAATGTCGCTTTGCATAATATGTAATGAAATATAGCATTAACAATATAAATGTTGTTATTTCTAAGTTTGGACAAATGCAAAATAAAGTACATGTATTAACTGTATGCTGCTATTAGTCAATTTTTATTAGTCAATTTTTTTTCTGAAACTGTAGTCATAATAATTGTAGCATGTAAGCACTTTGGGGATGCACGCTCTTTGGGGATTCATGCTCTTTGGGGGATGCACACTCTTTGGAGGATGTGTGGTCTACTTTACCTGAAGAATTCTTGAAGACTTTAAACAGCCTTGTCACTATGAGGCCATACTCCTTCTCAATGGCATCGCAAAGGGTTCCTATCATGTACGCCACAGACTTTTCACCACCTACACTACTCAGACGTGTGTGATCCGTAAACAAAAACCTTAATGGAAATACAAATGTACAATAAGAATAATATCTTAACAATCAAGAGATTGTTTAACCCTTAAGGAACTATAAGCCTTACGTTTTGATAAAGACAATGTATAGCTTTAATTCATTTTCCATCTTTAAATGTACATTACAGATAGTTGGGCTAAAAATATGAAACCTCACTAATATCTTGTCATATTTTTTGTTTTAAGTGACAGATTTATCTTTTAAAGTTCATGTTTTCTTTATTTCAAACTAAATAAATAATATGCTGAAAATAGATGGCACTGTCAGATCATGCAGAATCAAGGGTGATCACACGGAATGTACAAAGTTCACCCAAAACTAGGTTTTGAGAGTAAATTATTTCATCCAAGAAGAATCTAACCTACTTGACAGTTGATGTTTTTTCTCTAACTTTTGTAGAAGGGGTCCTTTGAAATATAACCTGCAGAAGGAGCCTTAATGAAGAGAATTTAATCGCCAGATATCTGCTCACTCCGTATGCTGATTCCCAGCCCCTCATGGTGGTACCAAACCATACAAACACTGTAGAAGATAAATAATTTTTTTGAGAAGATATAAGAAGATAATGTTCCTATTTGCTTAAGATTTAAAGGATACAATTCTAAGTGTTAATAGTTTAGTCTGAATACAACTTGCGTTAACGCATTCATGAGGGACTCTTTTTATTTCGTCTCACTCATGCTGTTTTTAGAGTTTGACTACCACGATAATATCCGTTAAATTAAGAAGATTAGCTATGATATATACATTGCATGGAGTAGGTGATTTTCTTTGGTATAATAATTCTGTGGTTCTCTTAGTGTTTTTATGGAAAATAACATGCTCCCTCACAGCGGACAAATCTTTCGAAAAAGAATAACAACAATCATTGAGAGAGATAATCAGTCAACCACATTTCTGCCTATACTGGTATTCCCTTATTGCCTTAATACCCCTTTTCTCTGAAAAGTACATGTTATTAGGGAATTTAGCAAGGCACAATATTCTACTTACATAAGAAGACATATTGAATCAGCAGTAGTCCAACACCAACACCGACTCCCACCTCCCAGCCGACAAAGACACCCAAGATGAGGCCGCAGACCATAGCGATGAAGAGACAGAGGAAGAACTGGAGTAAACTGAAGCTGAACAGTGTGTCCATGGTCTGATGGGCAAAGCTTTTCATCTCCCCTGAAAGCATGCAAGAATCAAGTCATTAACATGCAAAATGTTGCCACCTACCATTTGTTACAGATGCCAACCACAGAATACCAACCGCTGAATTACGACTGCAGAATGCCAATTTGCACACTGATTAATTCATTTCAGATAACATATGAAAAAGTGCAATTTCTTTGATAGGACAGAGTACCTTATACTTTGAACACATAAGTTATGAAATCAAATAACAGATTGTTTCAATAAAATAAGCATTGGATAAGGTAAGAGGAAGAAACATCCCAGAATTCAAAGTTGAACCTCCCTCCATGAAAAAATGATCTCAAGAAGTTCATCTTTACATTGACATACTGATTTGTCTATGAATTCTGGGTAATCGCCTCTTGTATTAGATCAGATTTGTAAAATTCAGTCATTCAATCATTTCAACCATATTGGTTTGTCCATATTAGGTCATTACACATTCATTCTATACTCAAACTGGACTTACGTAATAGTTTCTCTATTAGGAAAGACTTTCCACTGCCCCACTTTGCATAGAGGCCCACACTGATAGGGGTGCACAGAGTAGGTTCGCAAAGTACGTCAGCGATGATACTGCTATACAAATCATAGCCAAGCAGGTTTTCATTGGTCTCACTAGCGTTGAGGTTACCTGCAAGTAAAGAGAACTAACGAGTTAATGAAATACAAAATGTCACAAATAACCAATTTCCTGATAACCACAGAGCTACAGAACCTGCTGAACCCAATTTTTACAGAACCTGCTGAACCCAAATTTTACAGAACCCAATTTTTGAAAAAATTAGCATTTTATACCTGGGTTTGTTTTTACATACCTGATTTTGCTCTGTCCATCTGTCCATGGTATATTAAGAAACATTTTGTTTGAAAAAATAAAAATAAAACCAAGATCTGAATTGTCCAGGGAAAAGAGACTTACGTGCTCCGAATATTTGTGACAGGATGCTTTTAGCCTGGCCATGCGTGTCATCCAACTTGTATGGTGTCTCGCCAGTTTTGTTTGGACGATATAATAAGCGTGAGTCTTTTGGGTTCCGAAGCAGAAGTTCAGCCATTTTCTTGTTGCGGGCTCGAAGGGCAATATGTAGGGAAGTATCTCCTCTCTGAAATATCATGATCAGTTAAAATTCAGTAAAAAATATTTTCATGAAACATTTAGCATTTAAGGATTAGCAATTAACAAAAGTATTTATGACAACAAGACATCACAAGATATCACAAGTTGAAGCAAAATAGCCACCATGTATTTTACCAAGCATTTGCCCAGAATCATTTACCAAGTTTTCCCTGAATTTTGATTACAAGGTTTATGTGGTGCCTGCCCCCATCCCAGGCAGCACGAGACAACAATATGGTCTTTCTCAAAGTGTGATAAAAAAAGGAATTTTGAAATTCTATGATTACACATGTACAATTCACATACTTAAGTGACAATTTCCAATATGCTTATTTTCATTCAAAAAAGCTTTCTGCTTGTGATGCGGCAGGAGTACATACCTTATCAGCAGCCGAAACCTTCGCTCCTTTACTCATCAAAAGCGACACAGCTTCCAGATTACGATTGCGTACAGCTTTCAAGAGAGGCGTATTGCCATCTTTAGTCTGTATTTCAAGGTCGGGATTTTGTTCAAGTAGCACTCGCATGATGTTGATATGTGATCTCTCAACGGCCCAATAGATGGCAGTCTTGTTATCCTGTAACCAGGTTGGAAATATTTTTTATTTAAAACAATAAGAAAAACTAAAAGTCATGGACTGGGTGTTTACTAATGGTAACTCTCAATGAGGGTAGTGAATTAATGCAAGCAGTAAGGGTTTGTGTCAAATTGTTGACAATACAAGAGAAACAAAAGCAATTTCATTATGGCTTAACAACCCCCACATTCCCATATAAGGAAAGAAAAAGTTGATTGTCTTTCACTTGCATTTTTCCTCATACATCACACACCAAATACTGAACGCCAACTGCCGTCCACAAAAAGTTGAAGACTATAGAGCAATATGTCACCACTTGTGGTGGTAACATAATAACATAACAATATGGTGGTGACATAATAAAATGATCAGTCCACTTACTTGTCCAGGGACATCTACATCTGCACATTTCCTCAGCAGTTCCACCACAACCTCATAGTGGCCTCCCTTCACTGCATGAATAAGGATACTGTCTCCATACTGAAGCAAAGTACAAATACTTACTAGACAGGGTGTCCAAGAACTTGTGAGAATTCTTTGGACTGTCTCCATACTGAAGCAAAGTTCACATACTCAGGGTGTCTCAGAACTCATGAGAATTTTTTGAATAATGATACTGTCTCCCTACTGAAGGAAAGTACACATACTCAATATACAGGGTGTCCAAGAACTTATGAGAATATTTCAAGGGAGAAATCAAGCATATTGGATGGCAAGGTTGACCAAACCTAACAGAATCTTCTTATGTTACATAGAAAGTGAAACTAAACTTGTATTCGCGAATGCAAATAATGAATGTCAGCTAGCAGAAAGTTGCATCCGAGAATACAAGCTAAGTCAGTCGCTCAAAACCTTACAGAATCTATCCTCATATTACATGGAAAGTGAAACCTTACAATTACCCTGTACTTACCCTATCATTTAAGTTTACATAGGCACCATGACTAAGTAAGGCACAAGCAATCTCTGTGTATCCTTCTTTTGCTGATATTGCTAATGCTGTGAATCCATCCTGGAAGATGAGGAATCAAGTTAGGGGCATATTTCAAAATTGACATTAATAATCCATCCTTAAACATAAGATAAGTCAGGAACATAAATTGATATCAGTGAGGCTTTCTTGTAGGGCTATCTGCACTAAGACATGCTCTGTAAATAAGGCTCACTCCCTACTCAATGAATATGACTTATTAAATTCAAAAGATAGGACTAATATACATACTTTTCAACATAGCTCAATTGTGTGAAGATTCCACAGTGAAAATTCTTTTAAAATAAACAGTCAAAAAACAAAAAATGAACAATGTGAAAATGTTTTGGCCCACCCTGTATGCAATTTATCCAATGTATACAGAACAGTAGAGTTAAAGAAACCATCAAGTGGATATTTTGGATCAGCCTGTATGTACCTTATCCAGTGCATTGACATTAGGATGCCTCTCAAGTAAGGCTTCAACAACCTCAGTAAAACCTCCCTTGGCAGCTACGAGAAGGGCAGTCCAGGAATTCTGAAATAAATATTAATTTCAGTGTAATCATGCCGTTTATTACTTAATTTCTCTACAAAATTTGATTGAACACCTTTATTTTTTAGCATTTCTAAACATTTTGGAGTGTTGTTTATCCACCTGTTTACTTTATTCCTTGTTGATTTCATTCTTTTTCACTGTATTTTCAGTTATAAAAATACTGCACTCTAACTCATAATTCTCTTGTTAAAATGGGGCTCCAGGGCTACATACCATTCCTGCTGTATCTACACTAGCGCCCTCTTCCAGAAGTGCCTGTACAATGTCAACGTGACCTTTTCTGCATGCCCAGATCAAAGGTGTTGTACCATACTGCAAATATAAATAATCCATGAGGTAAACAACTGATCATCTTAACAGTACAATAGTATTTTATTTTAATCAACAAATTTTTACAACTTTGTGGAAATCAAAATAAGGATTGGCAAAAATTAAATGAGACCAGAATCAAATCAAGAGGATAATATGATGGCAGGCTCAAAAGTGGGTTTACAATTACAGTTTACTGATTGTTGAATCACAGTAAAGCTACTATTGGGCCACCCTGTACTTGGAGTAAATACATAATATATTTCCAATAGTCATTTATTGTATAAGGATGGATATAGACAAGTGAGGGGAAAAATAATTTGAGATAATCAAAATGAATCTCAATAAAGGACCCACGGTCCTGTGCTCACACAGTGTAGAAACTTCAGAGGAATGTATATCCTGATTTTCAAACAAAATTATTGATTTTGATTGATTATGACTCAATTCGAATAGCAGTTTTAATTTGTGTGGCCAATGTTGACTGACAGACAGACGGATCAATGGACGGACCAATGGACGGACGCCTGGTCGATCCCATAGGCTCACTCTGTGAGCCAAAAACTGCTCAGAGCTTTTATTTATTAGAAATTATGCAAACAAGAAGACTAAAGCCTGTGAAGAAGAACACCTCTACAAATACTAATAATAGAACAACATTGTCAGTAGAACATTGTCCCTTGGGCCCACTGTCCCACGGCCTTTATAGTTTATAGGTTAAACACCTCCTTAGTGGAACACTTTTATAGGGAACCAAAAGGGTGTTGTACTTATACATGTTATACTGCATATGTATTTTAGTGTGACTTTCCAAAATGGTGTCCAGGTTGTGCACATTCACAATGTCAGCTAATGATATATCAGACTGAAGCAAATGTCCGGGAATCAAATATAACAGCATTTAAGCAATTTAGTAAACATTGAGCTAATTAGGGTGGGTAGTGAGACCGATTCACCTGACCTAAAAAATGTAAGCTCAAAACCTATTTCAAAAATTACAGTAAAACAAACATTAAAGCACCAATGCTGTAAACATGACTTGCATATTTAAAGTGCTTTAAACTAATCAATCATAAGATTACAACATTAGTAACCCTTGAAATACAGTAAAACTTCTCAATGCAAACACCACTCTAAGATCACCACCTCTGTAAGATGAACACATTTTCACTGTTAAAATTTGTATTCCTTCAATTCGTGTAATAACACAAAATTCAAAGATAAACACCTCCAAACTAAATACTTGTTTAACCAAAATGAACACCCCTCTAAGATCAACACATCTATAAGGCAAACACATCTTCACAAGTGAAATTTTTGTTTCTCCCATTGAAGTCCATGTAAAAACCAAATGTGTCAAAGACACACAACTTAACCCTTTGAACACTGTTTGCTAAGCTGCAAAGAGTGATCACATAAAAGGGGTTTTAGTGTACTTTATCAGTATAAGCTTTAATTGACATTGAATGAATGAACTTTGAAATGTTCTATCTGTACGTTATTAACCCTACAGATTTGCAATGTTTAACCCCTTGAATACCAAGAGTTGCGAAAGCCCATCGCTAAGATTTTTGAATAAAATTGCTCTTTGCAAATTTTTATCCAATTTATGTTTTAAAATGGAGAAGCAGCTTCCCATACTCAAAACATTATACTTATCAGGATATTTTCAGAGAATAATGGTAAAAAGGGCAAAAATTGAAAAACGTCCTGGTATCTCCATGAAAGAGTTTAATTCTGCTACAATGTACAGTTAAACCCTTTCAGTGAACACCCCCCTCTAGTGAACACCTGTGTTTAGCAAACTCCATTTCAAGACACAATCTACATCCATAGGTGTTCACTATATACAGGTTTTACTGCAGAACATAACACAATACCCTACCAATGGTAAGCTAAACATGATTTTCATTTACTGTACTTCTACTTAATGTGGCCGCTGTTTTAAATTAGTGGACCCGCAAAATTGTTTAAGTCCGCCAAATTAAGTAGTCGCAGAATTCAATATTTCATATTTCAATCGTAAAATTGTTCTATGTAAGTTCATCTCTCTGGTTAATATATCAGAAACAAGTCAAATTCTTTACTTCAGAGAATATTTTTAATTTATTGAGACTTTCGACTAATATCCCTTAGTCTTTTTCAAAATATAACAGCATGTATACATTTATGTGACGTCATAAACAGACAATGGAAAAATTTAATTATGTAACAAATGACCTAGTAACCTAAAAAATAACAACAACAAAAAAACATAGATACGAAAAAACGAATGACCTAATAATAACCTTAAGATAAATATATCATCGTTATGGTAACAATTAAACTCAAATATTACTATTGCATACTTTGCTATACCATTCTTAATTTACAATATTTTATGATACAAATTGTCCAACTGATACCCATTATCTCTGTTCATTTTAGGTTGCATTGTTTTAATATGAATTGCTTCCTTAACCCTACGTTTAAGATCATGACTCTCATTATCAATGATTTTTACATTGTTCCAGTTTATATTATGATCATATTCCATGGAATGTTCAATAACCGCAGAAGCAAGACCTCCAGTCGACAGTAATGTGGGTCTACGATGTTCTCTGATTCTAGTAACTAGTTCCCGCTTTGTTTCACCTACATAAGTGGCAATACAGTCTTTACAATCAATTTTGTAAATTACACCGGACTTCTTTTGATCATTAGTTTTGTCCTTTAAATGCACCAACTGTTTCTTGATAGTATTCTGCGATTAAAAATATTCTCTGAAGTAAAGAATTTGACTTGTTTCTGATAATCGTAAAATTGTTTTGTACTGTATAAACATTCAATATTGCAAGTCTGCAAAAATAAGTAGCCGCCAAATGTTCAAAACAACAAATCCGCCAAAATTAGTAGCACCAAATTAAGTAGAAGTACAGTACCAGTTTGGTGTCAATAGCCAGGTAGATGTTTCAAATTTTCAACTGTGACATAGTAGACTTAGATAAAGTAAACACTTCAACTCAGACATTCAATACTGCACAATATTACATGCACATGAAAAATGGCTCCTATTAAACTACATGGGGACTTTCTGTCTCAGCCTGTAAGGGCAGTCGGATTAATGCTGAAAGCAAACAGCATCGACTTTGATTTTGTATCTGTTCCTTTGGTACCAGTTCGTAAGTAAATATTCAGTACTATTAAAGGAATTAAATATGAAAAGCTGCGTTTTTGAACTACCAACGGGTATGTACATTGCATAATAAGGATACCCTAGGTACTTACATTGCTAATAACAATACATGTATGTCAAACTTGTCGAGTAACAGTGCATGTCAACCTTGTTGCTCGTGCACAACAGGAGTTCGATTGAAATAAAAATAAACCGTGTTGTCTTTCAAATGAATCATGTGAGTATTAGTGCGCTCGGATGAGTTTTTTGTTGAAAACATGGGACTACATAATTCGCGCTACGAGGCTTTTTGTTCTTTTTCTTGATACCTGGGGGGAAATCTCATTACTTATTACGCAATGCACCACCGCAGTGGGCGATTCAAAAATGCAGCAAGTTTATTTCTGTTGAGGTGTTCAGTATTTTTTAAATAAAGGTTTTTAATCTATTTGAAAGTTTAGGTGTTCACTTCAGGATATTCAAAGAATTTTTTTTTAAAACCATTTCTTTTCATGAAAGTGCTCGGTACAATAAAAGAAGTTTAGGAAATCATTTGAAAGTTTATTTCAATTTACACCAAGTGTATACCTTCTAATTACACAGTATCCTTCAAAGAAAAAGGTAAATATTCAAATGGCGTATTTCTTAATAATTAAATTTTAGGCACAACTCGAACAGAAGAATATGCAGCAGTTAACCCATTTAAAACAGTACCAACTCTTGAAGTGGAAGGCTTGATGAACATCTGTGAGAGGTACTTACAGTAAAACCTGTCTAAGTTGAACATCTTTGGTACCTCTAAAATATTCCACTTGGAAGGTGTTTCACTTATAGAGGTTCATTAAACAATAAATCAATAGGGGGGACTTTGAAAAGTGTTCCACTAATGGAGGTGTTCCACTCAACACCTAACGCCACTGGAATCGGCCATAAGTGTTCATTATAAAGGTGTTCACATTTCAATGTGTCTTTCTTAACCAAGGTTTTTGATTACAGATGTGTTTTACAGGTATTACACTGTATTCTCTCAAGCCCCCTCGTCCTCAGTTGTACATGCACAACCTGCTAACCCTTAGATGTACATATGTAACCCCCTAGCCCAAGATATACATGTGTAACCCCCCTAGCCCCCAGATGTACATGTGTAACCCCTAGTCCCCAGATATACATGTGTAACCCCTAGCTCCCAGATGTACATGTGTAACCTCTTGTTCCCAGATGTACATGTGCAACCTGCTAACCCTTAGATGTACATATGTAACCCCCTGGCCCAAGATACACAGGTGTAACCCCCCTAGCCCCCAGATGTACATGTGTAACCCCTAGCTCCCCAATGTACATGTGTAACCTCTTGTCCCCAGATGATCATGTGTAACCCCTTGTCCCCAGATGTATGTGTGTAACCCCTAGCTCCCAGATGTACATATATAACCTCTAGCCCCCAGATGTACATATGTAACCCCTGCCCCCAGATGAACATGTATAACCCCTAGTCCCCAGATGTACATGTGTATCCCCCTACCCCATATATGCACATGTGTAACCCCCTACCCCATAGATGCACATGTGTAACCCCCTACCCCATAGATGCACATGTGTAACCCCTAGTCCTCGGATGACCATGTATTGATACATACTTTCTATCCCTCTAGCTCTGCTGCTCTACAGTACCTGGCAGAACTTGAAGGAATACCAGAACATTGGTACCCTAGAAGCGGGAAGGGGAGAGCCCTGGTAAACACATATCTTGCATGGCATGGACCAAGCATGAGGAAGAATGCATCTGGTTACTTTGTTACTAGTGTAAGTTTGAGATTAGAAAAAAACATTAAGGTAGTACTGGGAGAGTCCTGGTAAACACATATCTTGCATGGCATGAACCCAACATGAGGAAGAACTCAACTGGCTACTTTGTTTCTAGTGTAAGTTTAAGATTACAAAAAGCATTAAGGTAGTACTGCACATTCATAAAAAATGTTGAAAATAAATAATTTAGTTATTTCAATGTTTTATTTAAATATTACAAGATAACTTTTAAAATATATAAGTTACTGAAGATGATGATGAAGATATGATCAAATTTTCATAGAATAGTGGACATCCTCATTTTTGAAACTTATCAATTGCCAATTCACCTTAGGTAGACAGGCCTTTGCCAGGGGAGGTTCAGGCAAGAGCGAACACTCCCCCACCCCCTACCCAGCCAAAGTTTTTTCAAAACATGCAGTTTTGCTGCCCCCTGGATTTTTAAAAAACTCGAGTCCCCCTTGACGAATGCTGGCAACAAGCCTGGTAGAGTTTAAAGCCTCAGTGTAACATACTTATCTTTTTATTAGTTTGTAGGGCCTGCATTCTTTAACTTAACATTTACCGAAGACCAAGTGAAAGAAGCCAGAGTCGGATTTGAGGCTATGCTTGACCAGCTTGAAAATATCTGGTTGAGGGAAACATCATATTTGGCTGGGAATGACATCACAATAGCAGATTTACAATGTGTCACAGAGCTCAACCAGGTACAGAAAAGTCTACATATAAGTGAAACATCTTTAGTATTTCTAAAAAGTATTCTACTTGAGAAGTGTTTCAACTGAGAAAGTGTTCCACTTGTCATGAGAGGTATTCCACTTATAAAGGTGTAATTACAGAGGTGTTCCACTTTACAGATTTTATCTTTTGGTTTTAGTCATGAAAAACAATGTTAATTTCAGGCCCTTAGCCAGGGGGGACGGAAGGAGTGGCCACTCCCCCCCCCCCACCTGGCCAGAAATTCTTTCAAAATCATGCAGTTTTTCACCATTCTGAGCACTTTTCTCATGATTTTTTTGCCAAAACTGTCAAAAAGCTCTCCCCCTGTTGGCAAAAGTTTCCCCCTTGGTAAAACCGCTCCCCCGGTAAATCCTGATTACGGGCCTCATTTTGTTACGAGTTGCAATTTTACCATTTTTTCTCAGGTTGGAACGACTGGTTATGACATGGTGAAAAACAGACCTAAGTTGGCAGGCTGGATTCAAAGGGTTGAGGCAAAGTTACAGCCACATTTTGATGCAATGTGCAAAGAGCCGTTTGGGAAATTAGAAGAAGCATTTAAGAAATTTAATGAAGCAAAATAACACTGAAGTATACAAACTATGGAACACTAACTCTAATGAGCCAAATGTGGTTCATGTTAGCCGATTTTAAAAAATCCTCTAAGTGATATCTGGCAGTGTTATGAATTTAATTAAAAGAATCAACAGGCCAGGCTTGTGAATGGATGTGTGACCTAGATTAGAACATAGCAAATAATCATGCGCCATAAAATTTGAAGTTTTACTTGTCATAGAGGACACTGTGACAATAGTTTTGAAATGAATAAAATATGAATCAAAAATGAATTCCTGTTTTTGTTGATTATGAGGAATAACACGGTGATAGCAAGTCAGGAAGTAAACAAGTGAAATACTTTGATTTATGAGGCGCCTGCATGTTTGCCTACATGCCGATAAACACAAGATGGGATAAAAGAGGGGTGGGGGTCTTGTATTGGAAATATAACAGGGTTAAATACAAGGTCTTAAAGGTGCAACGATTAATGCAGAGGGGCCATTCAACGATCATGGACCAGTGTCAAAATACATTTAAGTTTGGATATTCCATTCAAGACTAACATATATTTTTGTTATCTTCAAAGAAACCCCCTGGATTAGCATTATTTCAGCTGATATTCCTCTTGAAACGTGGTGAATCTTAAAAATCTATAAGTGGGACTCCCTTTATAGAAGATTTGAACTAAATTTTCACTTCTTAATGCTGAAATTTATAGTTTATCCATACATTTTGAGAAAATAGGTATGTCAAAGAAGATGTTAAGCCAAATGTTGCCCTGATTGGCTGATAGCTCAGAAAAAGTAAAAAATTTCTCTACAGTCTTTGATGCCCCTTTAATACAGGACTTTTACCTTATCAGCAGTGTTAACTCTTGCACCTTTCCTCAGCAGCTCAAGGACAATCTCAGTATGGCCTCTGCCTGCAGCCCATGTAAGGCAAGACATATGGTGCTGGCCTTTAACATTATAGTTTGCGTCTCTCTCAAGTAGTTCGCTTACAACTTCTACATAGCCTTTGTAACAAGCCCAGACCAGGGCAGTCCAACCTCCCTGAAACACCAGACAAGGTATTTAAAACAATGGTATATATTTGACAATAGGGTTGAATTGCTTTGTTATGCTAATACATAGCCTTTATAACAAGCCCAGACCAGGGCAGTCCATCCTCCCTGAAACACCAGACAAGGTATTTAAAACAATGGTATATATTTGACAATAGGGTTAAATTGCTTTGTTATGCTAATACATAGCCTTTATAACAAGCCCAGACCAGGGCAGTCCAGCCTCCCTGAAACACAAGACAACGTATTTAAAACAATGGTATATTTGACAATAGGGTTGAATTGCTTTGTTATGCTAATACATAGCCTTTGTAACAAGCCCAGACCAGAGCAGTCCAGCCTCCCTGAAACACAAGACAACGTATTAAAACAATGGTATATTTGACAATAGGGTTAAATTGCTTTGTTATGCTAATACATAGCCTTTATAACAAGCCCAGACCAGAGCAGTCCAGCCTCCCTGAAACACAAGACAACGTATTTAAAACAATGGTATATTTGACAATAGGGTTGAATTGCTTTGTTATGCTAATACATAGCCTTTATAACAAGCCCAGACCAGGGCAGTCCAGCCTCCCTGAAACACAAGACAAGGTATTTAAAACAATGGTATATATTTGACAATAGGGTTGAATTGCTTTGTTATGCTAATACATAGCCTTTGTAACAAGCCCAGACCAGAGCAGTCCAGCCTCCCTGAAACACAAGACAAGGTATTTAAAACAATGGTATATATTTGACAATAGGGTTAAATTGCTTTGTTATGCTAATACATAGCCTTTATAACAAGCCCAGACCAGGGTAGTCCAGCCTCCCTGAAACACAAGACAAGGTATTTAAAACAATGGTATATATTTGACAATAGGGTTGAATTGCTTTGTTATGCTAATACATAGCTTTTGTAACAAGCCCAGACCAGAGCAGTCCAGCCTCCCTGAAACACAAGACAAGGTATTTAAAACAATGGTATATATTTGACAATAGGGTTAAATTGCTTTGTTATGCTAATACATAGCCTTTATAACAAGCCCAGACCAGGGCAGTCCAGCCTCCCTGAAACACCAGACAACGTATTTAAGATGAGACAATCACTCCACTATACCTAACCCCTAGAAATACATAAGATATTCTGTTTGTCTAATTGTATTGTTTAGTATATTTTTACCTTATTAAGGTACCTTATTAACATATAACAGTCATCCGATAAACCATTCATAAGGAACAGACACATAAAAACAAATTACATAATCATTACTGTAAGCCAAATGGGTTGCTTAGGAACACCAAATGCAAGGTATAGTAGAGTGAATGGTTACTGTTAGACAGCTACACAGCCAATCTGCAATGGTACCGTATGGTACTGTTTTTGAAATGGTACTTATGGTACCGTGAAATATGGTAGTCATTACGATACTGTAGCTAAAACAGTACCATGGTACAGTGAACACTATAAGGCACTATACTCCAATGGTACCGTACAGTACTATACTCTTAATGTACTGTACACACAGTACCGTGATTTTAGAGTGGGGATTGGGGGTGTAGGTTATATATAACTTTTATTGACATCTTGTATCATAACATGATTACATTAGTCATAACTATGAAAAAACTAAGTATCTAAACTACAAATACTAACTAAGGCAAAAGTACAAAAATATATACGAGATATACAAAAACCCAAAATAAAGGTAGTATACATCATGATGAAAGGACAAGGTTACATTTAAAGTGTGGTGCACATACCCTGCATTCTGACTACAAATTCTTAAATGAATGATAAATGAATTTTCCAATGTGTCTTTGTAATGTTAAGTTTTTACTTGAAATGAGATTGACAAATAAATTGCTTCATCACAAAGAGCTTTGTGAGGATTGTGTGCCCATATAACAAAAATTATTTGTTAAAGCAAAGTTTTTCTGTCAAAATGCTACATAATGAAGCAATTTAAACTGCTGTAACTCTAACCAATAAAGACAAGGCAAGCATTTCTATCTTATGATAAAACAGTGAACAAATATTGACAGCTGGGGAAAAGATAATTTATTCTGTCATACCTTCATAGGTATAGCCACAAATCTTTACAGAAACATACTTTTCAGACACAAAAAGCCTTGTTATAAAAAAGGCATTTAAATCAATGGTATTTATCTGACAGCAGGGTTTGATTGCTTAATGCTATGCTTTTTAATGAAGTACTTTTAAGCTATGTGCCTGTGTAACATCTAGAATTCCTTTGTTATTAGACAAAGCTCCTTTGTCAAAATGCTCTGTAACAAAACAATAAAACCTACTGTGTAAGTGTTGCTTTAAAGCAATGAAGACAAGACGCGTGAAACCAGACTTTCAGTGTTAAAGATTGCGTCTCTCATAAAAACAGTGTTCAAATACTGACAGCCATGGAAAAATTAGTTTTATTTATTCTGTCATACTATCATTGGCCTCACCAGGTATGAGGCAGGCAAGGCTATTGCCTCATCAGATTTTTACAGAAACACACTTTTCAGACATTTTTCAACAAGTGAAAAATATTTGGAGATAGTAATAAACCTCATTTAGCCTGACTTTGCCTCAACTATCTTCTTTTGCCTCACTTAATTTCACTTTGTGTTTTATTAACAGGCCCGTAGCCTGGGGGGGGGGGGTTTGGGGGGTTCCCCCCCTGGCCTAAATTTCTTTCAAAATCATGCAGTTTTTCACCATTCTGACTATTTTTTGAGTGATTTTTGTTCAAATTTGCCAAAGTGAACCCCCCTAGAATTTTTGGGAAAAGTGAACCCCCCCTTGGAAAATTCTGGCTACGGGCCTGATTAATCAGATCCTGACTCATCCCTGACTGAACTTACAATATCTCTGTGCTCCAGCGCAGCATTGGCTTCGATGAGCTCTATGATAGTAGTTAGATGACCCTCTTTGGTCGCCATCAATAGAGCACTCCAGTTGTCCTGAAATATATATAACACATAGTGATAAAGATGGCACTTTTTATCAAACAATTCAAAATGGTCATCAATTAATTTACCAAACATACCAAAGATATTGACACAAGCTAATTACATGATCTTCACTGTAAAACATTATTTGTTAAAAATTGCTTGGATTTTAAAGCCCTTCGGTGATGTGCAAGAAATATTTGAACACATTCTGGTTTCTAAACGATGAAAAAGATTCACATGTAAGATGTCACAAACTTCTCATTTGTTATAGACATCAAATGCCAACCACTGACTACTGAACATAGTCCAGAAAAAAGTTGGAGACTATTACAATATTAGGGTTAAATAAAAAATTAAATAAAAACATATGCCAATAACTTACATTATCCACAGCATTAACATTAGCTCCATATTTTAAGAGTTCTCTAACAATCTCCAAATGTCCCATTTGAGATGCATGCATCAAGAAGGTTGTTCCATTCTGAAAAATATTATTTCAACAAAAATTATATGAAAAGCAATATTACAACTTGAAATGTCATATTTTAGCTGCCGACTGATTTAAGTTTTCATGGTTCCTTTTTAGCCTTATTAGCCCGGTAAGGCTGCTGACAAATCTTGAATTCACCTAAATTGTCCAACAATATGTCACATATCTCTTGAAATTCTCTATGTTACAATGTAGCTTCTTTCCTTACATGTATCTATCAAATTTTAAACAGTAAAAATAGTCCAACTGAAAAATGATTCTTACTTCATCTCTCTCATCCAGGTTCACAGTTCCGCTTTCCAAGACTTGGCCAACTGTTGCATGATCGCCACTCTGTATGGCTCTCAACAAGCTTTGTCCACCTAGAGTCTGTAGCCCTTTTTTCCATGACTTAATACTGGAGATGGAAGACTGCACTGGATCTACTTTAAAATCATGAGGAGGCTCACGATCGGTTGTTGCCATGGTAAAGCCCATTCACAACAAGTCCTAAAAATTATGAACATCAATTCTTTAAAGAGGGAATCAGATATAGCGAGCAGGCTAAACAAAAAATCGTTTCAATTTTAGAGTATTTCTGGCTCATATCATTCCTTGTCATGTCTATTTTCTAGATATTGTATTTGATTTTGTAAGGAATAAGTTGTTAGGTCAATTATACATGTTGCTTGTAATTTTGTCACCCTATAGATCAGATTCTGCCTTTAAGCTATTATTTTGTTTAAGGAATAAAGACCGAGATTTTATGATTTATGGGACAATATATGACAATTTTATTCTGTTCATTGTTCAAAGACCAA